AAAAGCAAGAAGATCAAACAAGAACAGGAGATCCGAACAAAACAGAAACAAAAATCAAACCCAAAAAACAAATCCCAGGCCTTGGATTGCAGACTCAGACAAAGAACAAGTTGCAGACTCAGTTTTTGAGCCAGCTTGGACTTGGGAACATACAGCAGTTGATTCTGGGCTGCGTCCACGTTCGCTGGCCCGCACAGGGCCGCAAGTTTAACATAGCCTAAGAGAGCCTACCTTTGTCAGTTGTCTTTGCATGTTTGTGCTTCTTTGCATGGGGTTTCCTCATTGTTGCTTTTTTGTCTCCTCCATTTGTCTTTCACAAGGACCCCTTGATAAGCCAGCTTTGCTCTCAGCGTAGCGCCAAACCCTGCTTGGGAATCTTTGTGTTGGGTGCTGGAGTAGAATTCAAGGAAGTTAACACATGATTGTGTATCTCAGTATCTCAGATGGCTCCAAACTGTGCAATCTTGTCAGTAGGGAATGAGAAATGGAATATACCTGGGGATTCCCTTACAGGAAACCACCAGTTGGATGGTCTATGCGGGTCATTCCATTTCTCATTCCCTCCCTATCGCACGCGCAAGGAGAAGGCGGCTGCCTCAGAGGTGGCATGTGTCACGGCTCTGCTGTGCTGGGGAGAAGGCGGGAGATCCATACCCGACTCGCCATGCTTTTGAACTAAGCGACCATGGACCCCTGTAAAGCAACGTACAAATGAGCCACTGACCATATGGGTGGTCAAAAAATCAAGCCACGAATTGGAGTTTGGTTGCCAGGAACCAGCCCAGTTTGGCTATTGACAGCCATATTGCTGGTCTGCGGGCTTTCATAGGCTCAAACCTCGGGGGGGTTGACCTTGCTGAGCAGCTTAGCGATTCCAAAGTTTGTTTCACTAATTGCAACGCAACGCACACATACATATGTGTATGCGTGAAAATGTCATGTATTGTGTGTGTGCAATGTATTTACCTTTGCGTTCAATGTCACCGCATGCTATGGAATGACTGTAGTGTCGTGTATGTCGTGTGGGGCAGTCCAATAGAATATAACGTAGTGTGGTAATGTGTGTGTATGTATGGCATGGAATGTGATGTATTGGAACGGCCTACAGTGCACTGCAATGAAATGTGTGCATGTACCAATGTAGCATAGCCTGATGTAAAGTAGCCTACTGCAATGCAACATAATGCAATGCAATGTAATTTACGTAGCAAACTGTAATGCAACAGAACGAAATGTGTCGAAATGTAGTGCAACAAAATGTAGTGTAAGGGAATGTAATGCAATGCACGCAAGTATGTGTGTATGCATCACGTACATGTACATTACACTACACTACAATACAATGCATTACATTACATTGTATTACATTCCATTGCATTGCATTACATTACGTTACATTCCATTGCAGTACACCACACTGTACTGCATTGCATTCAGTTGCATTACATTGCATTGCATTACATTACGTCACATTGCCATACATTACATTGCGTTACATTACATTGCGTTACATTCACTGCATTCCATTTCATCGCACTACACTGCAATGCATTACATTGCATTACATTACATTACATTACGCTACATGGAAGTACATTGCATTACATTAATTACACTACATGGAACTACATTGCATTGCATTTCATTGTATTACATTGCAATACATTGCAATACACTACACTACATGGTTGTACAGTACACTACATTGCATTCCATTGCATTACATCACAGTGCCCTGCATTACATTGCATTACATTACATTGAATTACATTGCATTCCATTTCATCACACTACATTGCAACACATTACATTACACTGCATGGGATTACATTACATTGCATTCCACTACATTACATCACATTGCAATACGTTACATTACCTTGCACTACATGGTATTATATTACGTTGCATTCCATTGCATTTCATTGCATTACATTGCATTCCATTACATGACATGACATTGCATTACGTTGCATGCCATTGCATTCCATTTCATCGCATTACATTACACTACATTCTACTACATTACATTACATTCCATACATACATGATTCCTTTGTTTCTTGAAGCCCCCCCTCCCCCCGCCCCCGAGCCAGCTGGGGTTGGTTGTGGCTTCGCGAGGAGAGGAGCCTCAGGCCTGGCGAAAGCCGAAAGCGGGCGGGATAGGGCAGTGCGATGGGAGTGGACTGAGGTCATTGTGGTTCCGTTTCTGGGGGTAGTCAGACACTGGTGGGTGGTTTCCAGGTCTAATCATCTTTAACCTACTTGGGCAATAAATAGTGGGTTGCCGGTTGGATGGGGAACCAACAAGAACCTTATCCAAGTGACTTAAAAAGGAGGTGAAAAGTGGCTTGGCAACTGAAATGGCTGTCATTGTTGGAGGGTACCCTTTTGAGGGAGATGTTTTGTTTGGGCCAACACTAAGGTACCAACAATAGTCCAACAATGGGTGGTCAGTGTTACAATGTTCAGTAGCAATCCCATAGTGTCGCCCTTTTCTAGAATGTTGATATTGCGAATCCCTTCTGAAATCGTGAAAGATGAGGACGGTATGGTGTGTACAGGAATGTTGTTTGCGAGGAAACTTGTGAGCTCCTTCAAAACAGGAAGGTTCTTCCTTTTTGATTTCCAGTCTTCTGCTTGTTCCTCCTTTTTTAGCCCCTTCAAACCATAGCGGTCTTTTTGAGAAAACCATTTCCGGGCTCCCTCTCTTATTCCAGGTTGCTCTTTCAGCATAAGATGTGCTATGGTGGAAGGGACGGTCATCAACCGTTTGATACTGTGGATGGACAAAATCCTGCACCACTTTGAAAGTATTGGAAACCATTGTTTATTGGTATTTACAGGGGATTCATCATTCCAGGGTTTCTTAGGTGGTGCAGGATTTCGTCCATCCACAGTATGGGACGCCAGTCACACCAAATGGCAACAAGAAACTAGGGCTCACGAAAGAATCAATGCCATTGAAGTGCAGGATTGATCAGAACTGACCATGGCTCAGATCCGAACATTGTCCCGCTTGTGGATGGTGTTCCAACAGGACCACTTGATTGCGTGGTCTTTAAGTTCCAGCAGGTCGTTCTACTCTTTAGGTTTGATTCTGAATCCACTGTGTCCTTGGCATCCCTCAAGCCACTCCTTTTGGCATCCTTATTCAAATGTCAAAGGGGCCAAGCGGAGAGGAACGTCCCTGTGCTGTTGTTTGTAACTAACTGTTTTTGGAACTTTGAGTTTTGCTCCTGCTGTGGTAAGGAGGAACCAACCCACACGTGACTTGCAAACAGTGTTGGCGCGAACGCCCTTGGAATTGGTTCATTGGGGAGGGGCGATAACATGCAAAGCATATGAACAAACAATGCACATTTAAGCATTCCCCCCAACCTTCTTGCAAGAAACTTTATGGCTATTTGGTTGGGATCTTTGGACTCTATCTTTTTGGTTGAAACAGTGGATGTTCCATTGGACCCACAAAAAGCTAAACACGTGTTGCAGAGGGGTCACAGCAGCCAAGAACATGAATGTTTCCCCGAAAAAAGACGCCTCTCATTTTGCTTTCTGCTGGTCTGAATGATCGACCAGTCTCCAGAATTCGCAGGTCCCGTCTTTTCAGCGCCAGCTGGCGGTATGCTCCGTTTCATAGGATAGGGTCTTCTGCTTGCTGGTTTGATTGGCACGGAATGGGACATGGAATGGCCGCAAGAAAAAGCATTCTCCACAGTTTCCTTTAAGGGAATCCCCCTTCCAGTTCATTCCCAAGATCCTCTGGGCTATTGCCTGAGCACCAGCACGTATTTTAGGGCAACAGGAGGGTACCCGCTACAAACAACGGCGCTTCTTGGCGCCGTTTCAAAGGGAAACCAAAAGGATTTCCCTGTTTTTTAGACATCCCCATGTATTTCCGACGTCCGTCATTTTCCAAATTCCCCAACTCCGGGAGTCTTTGTGACCAGGCCAAGAAGCCGCGAACGGAGTGAGATGGCGAGAGAAAGTGACGAGGGGGCATTCGGGTTTTACATCTACATTGCCGACGCACCAGGCCATTTCAGTACAACATGAGTATACAGTTGCAAGATTCCCTCTTAACAATCATGGAAGACCGGAGAACTTTAAATGACTACCATCCTCTTGATAAGGCCCGCGCTCCGTGGTACGGAACTGCGGGGTCTTTTTGCCACCTTTTGTGAGAAAAATTGGCGACCCCCTTAGAAAGGAATCCTTCACTATGAGGGGGTCAAACATGTTTCCGCAAAGGTGGCAAAAAGACCCCCCTGTTCCCGACCGTTCCGTTTGCTACCCAGATCAGTGTGGTGGTTCTTGAAGATCGCTTTCAGTCTTATGAGACCTGGCAAGCTCAGCCAGTGTTGGGTGACATGTGGATTCATAAGGACTCGCCCATAGGAGCAACACAGGCGAAGAAACTCAAGCAAGAAGAAGAAGAAGAAGAAGAAGCAGACGGAGAGCTTTCAGCATCCCTCTCGGGGCATCCCTCATTTTAAGAATCCGCATCAAGACCATCTCAATGGTCATCCACGGGGGGCCAAGGATCTGCCTAATGACTTGACAACAACACATTTGGCGCATCCCACATGGAAGCTATTTGGAGATCTCTTGAGGGGACATGGTCACGGAACCTCCCGTTAGATTCCATGTTGGTAGGAGCAGTCGGAGTTTTCATCCGACTTTGGGAGCCAAAGTCTATTACCCCGGATCTTGCAAAGCTCACCTTCTCCCTTCTCCCGCGTTCCCTTTGCCGGGGGCGCAAAAAGAGGTGTTGGCCGGAGTTTGCGGCGAAGCGAGAGCGGTCGAAGCCGTTTTTGTCGTGGGTCATTTGGTTTTTTATTACAAAACAAAACAAAGACAATGCGTTGTTGTTGTTGTTGTTGTTGTTATTATTATTATTATTAGTATTATTATTATTATTATTCTGTTTTTTTTTTTTTTTCTGTTGCTTTTTGCGTGCATGCGTGTTTTTTTGTTTTTGCTTACCAAATACATATCGCAGCCATTTTGCCGTTCCAGGCTTTTAGTCGAGGGCATGCCCTGAAGGGGCCGCTCGAGCCATGGCTAAAGCCCCCTTGGAGCGGGGAAGGGCCGAGCTTCCGGACTTCGAGGCGCGATCGAGATGTTGCGGCATGCCGGATGGACATATGGAGTGTTGTTTTTCCTTTTTTTCAATACCACCTGTATAACATGTTTACAAGGCAGCATATGTAGATATATATATATATATATACACGGTGTATGTGTATATATATATATGTACATTGTTTTTGGTGGATACATTGTTTGTGCTTTTAAAGAAAAAGCCCACAGGAAAACCACCATTTGGGTGGTCCCCTCGAACAAAGACACCCGAAAATTCCCTTGAACTTGGGCGGAAGGCAATTTGCCAGCCCGCGGTTGGCGATGCCTCGGGTTCCGATGTCGCAAGAATTCGGGACCGGGCATACTGCGTGGCGGCCATTCTGACAAGGACTGCCATGAGCAGTTGGCTGACTTGGACAGCATGTGTGGAGATCTGCTGTTGCCTGGCACAAGTTCGGTGTTCGAAAGGAAGGGACGGCTTGGCAGCAAGTATGAGGGCCACGACATCTCATTGGCCAAACCCAAGTACGACGTGTACAGCAGGCCCGTTGAAGGCATCCGGGCGGTGCTCGCATTCAACGGGCACCTGAGTGCACTGGGCAGTTGGCATTGTAGAATGCCAAGACACGGTGCATTTGCTCACGCGATTCGAGCTCCAAAGGCGCAAGGCCGCAATTTGGGGTTCCTTCAATGCCTGTTTTGGCCCAACTTGGAGTCCTTTCTTTTTGAGCCCTCGAAGCTGGTGGCTTATTGCTTTCGGTCACATGACCTGAGAATCCTTGTCCAATCTTTGTACGACCCAAGGATCCGGTGGTGTCCTTCCATTTGGGTTTCGGATGTTGTCTCTTCTTGTTTTCCCCTTAAGTTACCCTGCCCCAATTAGCATGGAACCTGATGTTCAGGGGATCCTGGTTTGGACCATTGTCCCTTTAAATTGACCCCCGAACGTAATTGGTGGGAGGGTATTTGCATTGTTTCCGCTCGAAAAAAACCAATGGAAGGTTTGCCATTAGGGGTTCGCTGATTTCGGAGAACTCCTGTGGCACCGAAGCCTGCGTTCCTAACTGAAGGAAAGGGGCCCGGACGGTACCAAAGCAAAACAAGACAAAAGCAATCTCCAGACAGTCTTGGCTATGACCACATCCTTTTTCTGAGTTTTTTTGGTACCCCCCCCCTTCGTAGAGTGATTTGGTATAATCATGCATACGCTTCCTTTTTTCCTTAAGAAGAACCACCCAAGGATGCATTCGCATCATATTCCACTAATTACACTCCGAGACATGGCGTTCACCTTTCTAACTTTTAAAACATAAACTCAGATTCCATCCAACAAGCAACCAGTTGCTCACTTGTTGCTCGGTTTTCTTTTTGGACCCCGAAAACGTTGGGTGCGCCAACAAGTGCTGCCTGTGGGGTGGATTCCTTCAATGGTCAAACAAAAGGGTTGAGGGAGAACCCAGTCTTCGGGCCAAGGCTGATCCAGGGCTGAGTGCTTGTGTCGGTTTGGGTTGCTGGAAATCATCAGTTGGCAGCGCGGAGAAAACAACCAACATTTCAAGGCGAACACACCCAAAAGGTACCACAGTCGACATCTCACAGGCCGGCTACAACTGTATGAAGCAAGCACAAAACCGCCAGGGAATCAGCCCACCCCCCGCTCCCCCACGAAGATGTTTCAGGATCCTCCTGAGGACCCCCAAGAAGGTTGCTTTCTAAAATTAGGTGGCTGAGAGTTAACTTGATTGGTGCTCATGTGTCTCTTCTTTCACTGTCTCTTCTCTCATCACAAATTCCCAGATTTCATAATAGCTGAGAAAGGGGAGTTGACAGTCTGTTCATCCTCCATCCATTCTCATCTCATTTTATTCCCCAGCTGAGAGCTATGGGGTCTTTGCCCAGTGGCCGTCTCCGGGGTGGTTTGGGCTCCGGATGCCCATGGGGCGGTTACGAGTGCGCGCAAGTATGCCTCATGCTGGGGATATCATCTGAGTTTAGAGTTGTCTCATGGTGCGAGAGGATGAGAAAGTGAGGCAGAGTCGATTTTTGGGGTTTACCCGTTTACCCCTTCTCCCAGTGTCGGAGGAAGGATTCCCCCTGCATGCTAAGAATCAAGGACCCTCTCCCTGGGCATGGAGTCACATAAAGGAAGAACTTGCAAGTATACAAGCCGTATGCAACTTGGCGGCAAACCATCCGGGTTTCCTTGGTTTTTTTTTAGCTTTTCAGTTGGTTTAGTGGTTGGGTGTCCGAAGTTAACCCACGAAAAGTTGTCACAAGTCGACGACTCTCAGCGGATCTCGGAGTTGCATCGCGAAGCTAGGCCGCAGAACCGGGAAAGGCGCCTTGGAGTGAGATCTGGCGTTGCCTTCTTTTAATGAGTTGGTACGCCTTTTTGCGTGGTTTGAAAGAAGAGCCAAGAGGAAACCCACCCTTTTGGGGGTCCAACCTAAAAAAGAACCATGGCCATTTGTTTGGTCCTGCTTTGAAGGGCCAGTTTGCCGCCCGGCCGGCGAGGAACATTTTGAGGGCGCAGTCTGGCGCAGTGGCTTGAATATCACCGTTTGGGCCAATTTTATGTTGAAAGGAGATCTCAAGCAATATGAGGGTAGGAAAAAGAACCAACTACGACATGATTGGGCTTCAAAGTACCCCACCGCATTCTAGATATTTAGGCCCTTGTGAAATTCTCCGGTTGGGCAGTTGGGCGGGCTGAACACGATCCCTCAAAAAGATGCACGCCTTGCACTGAAAACAGTATCACCCGGGCATTTGTTTTCGGCGAGTTGCTTTTTGTGTGTTTCAAAGTGGAAGCCCCAGGACAGGATGGTTTCACGGGGTCAGATGTTTTCCCCATGTTTTCACTCAAACCCTTGCTGACTTGGATGCAAGTCTTTGGATCCCCACTCATGTCCCAACCCCTAGTTACCCTTAATTGGCACTGTTCTGTTGATTGGCCCTGGCAAACTCTCACATACTCGCTGCCTGCGTTCCTGGACTTGAGGCACTTTTTGGGTTTGGTGGCCATTTTAGTGGTTTCAAAAAGCTTGGTTACTTTGTTTGGCCCATCTCGTTCGGAAGTGAGTGTGGAGGGCGGGGGGTACCTTCCCCAGGTATATTCTCATCGATGCAAGACAGAAGCCTCACTTTTTGTCAACAAACTAGGACTGGGGGTGTTGGATGGGCTTGCCTGTTGAACTGGCGAACTTGCAATCTTGTTGCCAGGATGTGTTATCATGATTGGGTTGTGTAATGTTGACCCAGGATTAATAAACCCGTCCCACTATTCGGGGGTGTTCCCTCCAAAAGTGATGAATCCCCACTAAAAGAGGACACCCCCCTATTAATCAACCCGGGTTTATTAATCCGGGGTTAACATTAACAATCAACACGGGCCGAGGGATGCTCAAAGCAAGGAACCTTCGTTTGGTTGCCATGGGGTTCTTCGGGTCGTCAAAGGTGCCCCCTGTTGCTTTAACCGTCCAGCTTCAGATGGGCAAGCACATTTGTCCACAAGAGGACCCTCTTTTGCAGGGATCCGGTTTGTTGTGACAGCCCATGTTGCCAGCCAGCGGCCCAACCCACATAGCCTGACCGCAAGCCACCTCACAGACTCAAAAGCGTCTCGGAAGGGAAGCCACATGAAGGTGGGGAGATGGGCACGATGGTCACCATGGGTTTGCGGCTCCATTGGACATGTGTCTTGTTGCCCTTGGGTTGTCGCGGACATCAAAAGGAACATCCATTTCTGGAGTCTCTCCTTATTCCGGTTTGTTTTGGGTCCCGCGCAACTCGCGAAACCCAAGGAGTCAGATCCGTGGCTGCGGCCGCTCGCTTTGCAAATGGCGAAAGGGGGGGGGCGTTGGTTGGCATGGAGACCCGGTGGTACCGATTCCGAAGCCGAGCTGTTCACCCATGCGCCCAAACTTTCCCTAAAACTGAGTTGGTGAGGTTCATGGAAGCTTTTAAATCTGACCCTTCCCCTACCAAGAAAATGACCCTAGTCAAGCACAGTTAGGGTCTAATGAAAGCTCCCTTAGTTTCGGAGTGTGAGATGGAGCTGGGGCCTGCTTCGGGAAGCTCGCTCTATGTCGAACCCATTCTTGGGCGGGCGACGATGTTCTGCCTGGGTGATGTTCTGGAGTGGGAAGACGCCTGTCTCTGGTGGTTGTTGGGCAAGCAGGATAATTAAATGGCTGTATGAGTGTGTATGTGTGTGTTGCTTGTTTGCTTGCTTGCTTGATTGTTTGTTTGCTTGCTTGTTTGCTTGCTTGCTTGCTTGCGTAATTGTTTGCTTGCTGGCTTGCTGGCTTGCTGGTGTGCTTGTTTGTTTGCTTGTTTGTTTGTTTGTTTGCTTGCTTGCTTGTTTGTTTGTTTGTTTGTTTGTTTGTTTGTGTCGGTGTCCAGGTTATGGGTATGTTGTTTCACGGAGAACAGCTTTCAAATGCTTGCCGGAGATAAATCCCGGTGTCAACGATGTCCAAGAAGGGTTGCCCGTTGAAGTTCGGGTCACGAAGAGCTAAGGAAGATGGGTGGGACCATGGAACCATTTGGGTGTTGTTTCTGTTGGTTTCAAGGGCTTCCAAAGGCAGGGCGAAGTCCAACTGAGTTCTGGGGCGGTCAAGATGTTGGAACTGTTCTCCAGTACCCCTTTCTTTGTGCACACCCACTGGACTTTCTTGAAGGACCGTAGGATACCTCATACAACCTGCATCACTTTGGATACCTGTGTTTTGCTTTCCCTTGAAGAGGGCCAGGGTCTGGTTCTTCGCTTCAATTTCGCCGTTTTTTGGCTGGGCTTTCCACATCGACAGCTGGGTGGGGGGTTTACAGCACTTGGGCTTGTGCCATTTGACTCTTTTGCTTGCTGACGGGATGGTCCTGCATTTTTTTGGGAAGTTTGGGCTTCGGAGTTTTGACGCACATGACGATCTGAAAAACCCGCTGGGTTGAAGTGCATAAAGAGGGTCCCCCCTAAAAGGAGTTCCCAAGGCCTAGGGGCGCTTTTTTGTCTGAGGCCGCCATTGACCAATGGCCCCTTGCCTACCATGACAGCTGTTTACACAACAGGTTTGGAGCACGCCCTAGGCGTATTGAGGAATCCCGGTGGTTTCGTTTTGCCCCGTTTCGGTGTTGGTTTACTTTTTCCGCTTTGTTCCTCTTTTGCCTAAAAGTGGGTTTCTTTGCTTTGTTCCTCTTTGGCCTTTTGTAGTTGGTGGTTTGTTTCGTGGTTTCTTGTTGTTTGCTCTGTTTCCCCCCCCCACCCCCCCCCACCCCCCCCCCCCCATCCGGCACCCTTTTTTGGGGGATTCGGGAGGTTGCCGGTATCATTTGACGGCCAAGGAGCATCGACGCCATCGTGGCACGGCGCCAGGAGGAGCTCTTCTGCCGCCCACCGGCTGGATTAAAGAGACCAGGAAATGGTTCGAGGGGTTTTTTGGGGTAGGAGACCTGGGCTTGAGCTGTTGGGCTTCTTGGGCCGTTGGTTTTGTTGGTTTTGTTGGTTTTGCTGGGTTGGGCTGTTTTGTTTTTGTTTTTCTCCGAATGGAGGCTCGTCTTTTTTCGAGGGTACCCGTTTTGGGGTCGGTTTAAAGGGAAACCAACAGTAAGATCCGGGTACCCTCCAAAAAACGGGGGACATCCATATGGGGGGCTGATCAATACTCCGAATTTTCGGGTTGGGTAAATGGGGGGTGATCAACATTCCGTTCACCTCCAAACTGAGCGTGGGCAACTTTCCCATGTGGCAATATCGGATCTGTTCCCCGAATGGTCATCCTATGTAAAGGACCTTTGGATCAACCCCCAACTGGCTGATCCCGGCGAATGTTTTCTTTAGTTGCCTGGTTTCGCGAACCAGAACATGGTCTTCAGGCTAGTGGTGTGGGGGGTTCTTACGAAGAATCTCACTTTAGATACTCACTCAAGGCAAGCATCGTGATGGAAGGGCCACAGCCCTTGGCTACACCCCACTCTGGGTGTGTTGTTTACACATGACCCAAATGCTGCTGACGGAAACAGCCATGCCACTTGCATATTGACAAAGAAACGGCGACCCATGATGGCGCCACACCTTTGCATATTGCTGCAGAGCAGGGCTATCAGGCAGTTGTGCAGTGCTTGCTGGATTCCGGTGCTGACAAGGAGAAGGCAGACAACCAAAGCATCACACCGTTGCACGTTGCTTCGCAGCGGGGCCATCAGGCAGTTGTGCAGTGCTTGCTGGATGCCGGTGCTGACGAAAACAAGGCGATCCTCGATGAGGGTGCCACACGTTGCAAATTGCTTCATTTGAGGGCAATCAGGCTGTTGTGCAGTGCCTGCTAGATGTTGGTGCTAACAAGGAGAAGGCGACCAGTGATGGTGCCGCACAGAGGGGCCATCAGGCACTTGTGCACTGCTTGCTGGATGCCGGTGCTGACAGAGAAACATCGACCAATGATGGCGCCGCCCCGTTGCATTTTGCTGCACAGAGGGGCCATCAGGCAGTTGTGCACTGCTTGCTGGATGCTGGTGCTGACACAGAAGCGGAGATGAATGCCGAGAGCGTGACACCATTGCTTCTTGCTGCACAGGAGGGCACCAGGCAGTTGTGCAGTGCGTGCTGGATGCTGGTGCTGACAGGAAGGCGACCGACGATGGCGCCACACGGTTGCATCTTGCCTCACAGCAGGGCCATCAGGCAGTTGTGCAGCGCTTGTTGGATGCCTGTGCTTGCCGCTGCTGGCAAGAGAAGGAAGACAACTGGAGTGCCACACCATTGACTAAACATTGCACGGTGGGGCCACCGGGCAGTTGTGCGGTGCTTGCTGGATGCCAGTGCTGACAAAGAAGCGGAGGTGAACGTCGAGAGCATGACCCGTCGCGTGGTTTGTGATTTTGTTGGTGGTGCCAGGCTTTCAGACTGGTTACGAAAGAAGCAAAGTAGCCCTGGAATTGGGAATCAGTGCAATGGGTAATCTGGGAAGGGAAGCCCATGTTGGGGTTGCACCCGAAATGCACAAAAAGGCGCCAATGTGTTGGGTGGTACCCTCCCACGAGCTAACATGGGTTTGTGCACAGACCCCTGCAGAAAGACTAGTTTCCTCTTGGAAAGGGCCTTTTTGCACTCCCGTGTTCGTTGGTGGGAGGCCTTTTGTGGATGCAGCTGGGTTTTCAGCGAGTTTTGCAGCTTACATCCAAAGGCCTGCACACGCTGCTGGCGAAGCCGGCGCCGCCACTGCCGGAACAGGAGCGGGCGTGAGCCCCAGCGGGGGGGGCGGGGGGGGGGGGGGGAATCGGATGTGTGGCACGTCTGGGAGAACAGATGTGGCCGTGGTTGTCAAAACCAATGGTACCATCTTGGGGTAGGTGCACCACCCATTTTAGAACCTATTTTAGTGGGGATTGGGGTGTTCACTGGGGGTACGGGATTTTGACCCATAGCCATGTGGGTATGGGTTAAACTTAGTCGCCACCAGGATAGGGACCGAAGGTTTCAGTCCATGTTTCCATCTACCAAAATGGGTTCCTATTTTTGACCCACTGCCATGTCATTGCGGCTCGTTTGAGACGCAAGCAGCACAAAAAAAAATCAGGCTAGCATGGATGCTCCGAAAGGACCACTGTGCATGGAACTAAGTCTTCCAAAGGGGTGCGGGGAGCTTCCATGTTCGCCTGTAGACGCTAGTTATTTTCGCCTTCCCCAGGAAATCAAAAAGAAGATGGACCATGCTGATTTGTCCAGGCCCTCATTTGGCGCCCAGAAAGGGAATGAGTGGCTTCGGCTCCGGGCGTTTGCCTGTCTCTTGTGGCTTTCAAAGGAGGGGGCCCCTAGGCTATGAGCTTCAATCAGGAAGCTGTCAATCACACCATTTGTGGGCAAAACTCGGTACCGAAAATGGATTGGCCTGGTAAATTGAAACAAGGACTAATGAAAACCTTCGGTCCCTGGTGGTTCAATGGTGACCCATACCCATTTTGGTGTAATTTCACCAATCGCTTCCTAGATGACCAAACTCGGGGCAGATTCCAAAGGGTGTGGTTTGCTAGGGACCATTGTTCTACCAACTTGTGCGGTTTAGAGCAACCCTGTTGGTTGCTCACATGGAACCCCAAATAGGCGTCCGACCCAATTGAGTCTGGTTTTTGAGGACACGCTTTTTGTGTTTGTTTCAAAGGCGGAAAGCGCGCAGGGAAACCCCCAGTTTATGAATCCGCGTAGGGACCTCAAGCATTTCGGAGGTTCCACAACCTATTTTGACACAAACCAACTTTTCAGCAACATAACTCCAAGAGAGCAACAACAACCGCCAGGTACGCGAGCAACTGGCCAATGCAGAATGTAAACCATGAGTTTTTTTTCGGGCATGCTGCTCGAAAAAGATAACGATCAAACCAGGAAAATCCGACACATTTCTTGGGTTTGCCTTGCAGCACGACTCTTGTTCAACCCCCATTGAAGGAACGGCCTTGGAATTTGGCTGATGAGGTCCTGAACGGTAAGCAATGGTTATACTGGTTATGTCATCCTTAGGCAAACAACGGTGGTTATGTCAACTACTGTGGATGGACGATACAAACCCCTGGAATGATGAGTCCCCTGTAAATACCAACAAACAATGGTTTCCTGGTTTCAAAGTGGTGCGAAATGGATTTCGTCCATCCACAGTATCAACCCCCGTCCTTTTAATGGTGGCCTTTTTGAACCCCAGGAGAAATCTCGGATGTCGAGCCATGTTGGGGACACGCTCCAGGCTGAGAGCCTAGAACGTCCCAGGCGCGGGCCCGTTGCTCTTGCTTCCCCCCCCCCCCCGCCCCCAAATTTGTGTCACTCCCTGAGTTCCTGGACTTTAAACTTGTTGGGCACCATTTGGGTAATCAAAAAGTTTGGACCTTTTGGACCATCCACTGAAAGAGTGAGTTGTGGTTTGGATTGGTTGTGAGCTCAACCCAAGGTTCTTGTCCAAACGAGCTCGCCGTGATGCATGCCCTTTACTTGGGGATCCATTTTTTCAACTTTTGACAATGTAAGACTTTGCAGAAACATGAATATGCGCTAGATTTGATCTTATAGCGCCGTTTACTACTATAATAATGGCTCACGGTCAAGATCCCTTAGCAATGAATGCAATCGCGCTACTTTAGCGAGTCAGTCAAATGAATGCACCTTGACATGTATATGGGCCAATGCCCACGGCTTTTGAACAAACCCGAAAAGGACGCCCCACTTGGGATGTTTTCTTTTTGGTTTGTTTTGCTTGCGGCCCTCCATTTGACACCGCCATAAACCCTGACAATACAAAGTAGTAAAGCAAGTTCATAGTACGGCTTTTTACAACAAGTCGCAAGAGTATTCGGCACGGCTCACCTAGGATCTGGCGGTTTTCCATGTTACAGAAGTGGGCCATCACCAGCTGGCCCACCTTCAACCGCAAGCTGGCCGGTCCCTTGCACCGGAAGTTCACGCCGCTGTCTGCGAGCCATTTGGGCGTGTCTTTTTTCAGGGTGCCAACTTTTTGTCGGTGGTTTTAAAGGGAAACAGAAAGGAACACCCGCCATTTTAGGGGGGGTCCCCTAAGACAGAGACAGCCATTTGTCGTTAGGATCCCAAGACAACTTTCAAGGCGATTAGAGAAAGCAAGAGCGGCCTTCTTTTTATATGGTAAGCCCAAACAAGTCGGAGTTGTTTTGAAGGAACACCAAAAGGAAGAAACACCGCGTTGGACCGAATCCGAGTTTCTCCTTCTAAATTCAGACAGGTTGGGCACCCCAAAATGGGGGGCGCTGCAGAATCCAAACCCACTTGAAAGCGAATCGGCCGTTTGACCTGCGGGTTTGCCCATTTTGGTCTGAGTCGAGGTTGCAGAAGGGTTAACTTGTTGGGTGACTTCGGCATGTGAGCGGCTCTTCCGAATCTTGGGATGACTTCCGAATCTCCAGCCTAGGACCCTAGGATCACTTTCAATGGGCCGGAGACCTGGAAAAAATCGAGTCGTTTGCAAATCCATGACGAAGGGTTCCGTTTACAAGGACCCCGCTAAAAACAAGTGAGTTCTTACGAGTGCCGGCACCGCGAAGCGTGGCCTCAGAGGCGGAGGCAAGGAGAAACAACTGAGGTGCATTCAAGGTAACTCGCCCACCCTAAGCCCAAACTAAACCATTTCAGTTTTCTGCGATTTGGATTCTTTTGTTTGCTCCAGCTTCGTTTCCGAAACCCGGACTAAACCCAACACCTCCACCCATCCCAACATTGGACCGCAGGCTCAGCACCAGCGACTCCGAACTCCCCGAGCTCGGCAACATCGAGCGCGTGTCGCGGAGGCGCGGGATGGGGTGTGGATGGAAACGCGAAATCCAGAAATCGCGCCACGAAAGGAAACCATTGGTTGAAACATGTTGAAACCATTGGTTTCGTTGGTATTTTCAGGGGAGTCATCAGAAACCAGAGTTTCTTAGGTGGTGCGAAATGGATTTCGCCCATCCACAGTAGGCCCCTTTGTTCGACGTTTTTGTTTGCCCCTGGACGCTTTGGGGTCTTGGTGTTGGGGTGCTTTGGAGCGGCTCGCACTGGGGACCCGGCAAGGCTTCCGGAGGAGATCACTTGGGCTTATCTTTTTTTCCCCAGATAGCTGAAAGCTATAGGAGTTCTAACTGCAAGTGCAGGAGGGGTGGGTGAGACTCAGAATTCCGGCCAGGTGCTGTTGCCCAGGGTGCTGCAGGGTGCTGCAAGGTGCTGCTGCAGGTCGAGACTCAGAGTTGCGCAGGGTGCTGCTGCAGGGTGCTGCTGCAGGGTGCTGCTGCAGGGTGCTGCAGGCCGAGACTCAGAGCCGCCGGGGTGCTGCAGGGTGCTCATGCAGGCTGAGACTGCCGCAGGCCAAGACTCAAAGTGGCACAGGGCGCTGTTGCAAGGTGCTGCCGCAGGCCGAGACGCAGACTTGCGCAGGGTGCTGCTGGGCGCTGCCGCTGCCGCTGTTGCAAGGTGCTGCTGAAGGCTGTGTCTCAGAGTTGCTTACGGCGCTGTTATGTGGTTGCTTCAAAGAGTTGCTGCCAGACGAGCGAGGTCGCGTGCGACTCTGGTATCCTTCGCAGTGCAGCAGAGTGCTGTTGGGGTGCTGCAGCAGGCCGAGACTCAGAGTTGCGGCTGTTGCCAGGTGAAGGCTGAGCGCTGCTCTAACATGGTGCTGCTGCAGTGCCGGGTGTATTTCAATGGGTATCTTTAGTTCGTTGGCTGACAGACAACACATTATTGCTATTTGGGGTCTATGCCGTTATGTTTCGCGCTAAGCAAATTAGGGGTTTTAAGCAAATTAGGGGGGAGTTCTGTTTGAAAGCAGGGTCCCAAGAACAGGGCGCCCTTTTTCCCCACACAGGTCCGGGGAATCTTCCGGAGCCCAGAGCTGCTCCGAGCCATGGCCCGGAGCTGCTCCGGGGAAAGACCCCATAGCTTTCAGGGGGAAAGACCATGGAAATGGGGGATGGGCTCCCAGCATGTTGAGGGTTTCGAGAGTTCAGCGTTTGGATCACGGCGTTTAATTGGGGGGGGGGGCCGGGGGGAGGGAGGGGGCTGTTGGGGTAAAGTCAAAAGAACAAAACGTTTGCTTGTGCCCTTCTCCGCAAACCAGCCACTACATACGCAATATTACCAGGGAACACAAGGGCATGAACACGGGTTGTACTTGCACTCTTAGATGTTAGGGGTGTTTATTGGCCAGAAACAAGTCGGGGAAGCCAAGCGATGACCGGGCTGACGTTTGGGGGCTGGCTACTTGACAACACAAATTGCATAGCCTCGGGGTTGCTCCAAAAGGGTTCCAAGCAAGGGTAGCAATTCGCATTGCTTTTAGAATCAACAGGGACCATTTTTGATTGGCTGTCTTCTCTTTTCTTTACAACTATCATCCAAAAGGGATTAGATGGGCGCCCAGTTTTTGCAGCCTAGTCTTGCAATACCGTTTCATTTTGCAACGTTCGGCTCGTTCCAAGAATAGGCCACCCCCAAAACATGGTTGTTTCATCTTGTTCTCCTTTACCCATTTTAAGGGGGGACCTCAGTTTTGCCGGAGCGCCATCTGACGTTATTTTTGAGGGGCCCATTTGAGGTGGGCTTGCAAAAAAACGAAGCAACGGGAGAGAGTCGTTCATTTGGAGACACCCGGCCCCCCGCTTGCACTCACTCGTTCCGAGGGAGCATCCCACCAAGACAAAGAAGCGGTGCCAGGCGGGAACGGCCTCAACATGGTCGGTGCTTGCATCAAGTCAATCCATATGATATGTAAATGCTGTCTGCATGGGTCCCATCTAAATTCATTCCCAAGTATAGCTATACATGTACATACACATGCACACAGCTGTATGTCATGTTGTGCTGTCATATAGGTCAGCGTGGTGAAATCGACCACTTGCTTAGGTCGGGCCCTTCCCCCGATGCAGACATTGTGTTTTTAGCCATGCCGAACATTGTGTATTGTGCGTGTTGCAACTTTGCATCTACCCAGGCAGTATTGAGCTGGGGCTGTCATGGATGGGCAAGTGAGCAGGGATGGCTGATTTACCACAAACCAACGAGCTAAAGAAGGATCGAATGTTGGTTCCATGTCAATGTGCAGGAGGTACATTTATATACCTTTTGTACACTGCTCTATTCTGGTTGTGGAGGGCATGCAGAAGTTTTGAAGCTGCAATGCACCAAGCATGGCACGCCACTCCATCACTACGGGACGCACTTTTTACTTTTGGCCCAAATGGCATATAGGGATGCGGTCGTGGGAAAGTGGGCTTTGGGTTGCCACTTTCTGTGATATCAATGGAATTCCTTTCAAAGTGATAGAGTAGTCATGTATGGCGCCCGGAAAGCGTGACACCACCTACCACCTTTCCGCTTTACCTACAAAGGGTCGAACCCATTTTAGTATCTCTTTACATGCATTCACGAACTGTTGTAGATCACGTTGCGTTTTTGGTGGTGCATGGAAAGCTGACGACAACGTCATTCTGAAATGCTCCGAGAGTAAAGAAGCCACCATGTCCCAACTTGCGGGGGTGCACAGGAGTGAAAGGAGACCAGGCCTCCAAAATGCGGAACAAATTGGACAAGACCACATGTATGCAGCTCCGTGGGGTTTTCGCAGGCTCGTTTTTCCCCCTTTTTGTTCTTCTTCTTTTTTTATCCAATTTTTGCTCGGAGCACCTGAGAAAGCAACTTGTCTCCCGTTTTTCCGTGGGTTTTTGAAAGGGTAGGCGCTCGTCTTGATCCACTCTGAGCATGTATGACGACTATCCTTTTTTCCCCCGCCGGGCCTCGGCAAGGCGACCATTGCCAAGTCCCACCCACCAGCCCGCCCGCCCGCCCACCCACCCACCAACCAAGATGGACGGTGCAACGCTGACGAGCGTGGAGCCTCCTCCCTGGCTGGCGTGGAACCGGTGGTTTTGGAGGCCGAGGAAAAGCAGCTGACTCCAACTCCAAGTCCTTGGAGCAGTTGGCACTGGGTTCAGCAATTCCGAACCTCAACTCGTTGGTGCTTGGTAGGGGCTGCTGGCTGATGGGCTGTTGGCTTGTTGGGTTGTTGGCTCTGGGCTGCGTTGGGCTGTTGGGTTGGCTGTTGGGCTGGTTGGGCTGGTTGGGCTGGTTGGGCTGGTTGGGCTGTTAGGATCATGGGCTGTTGAGCTGCAGGATGTTGGGCTGTTGGTTGTTTTGTTGGGCTGTTGCTTTTGCTGGGCACTTGATTTGCGAGCAACGCCCCAAATCTGGCGATTCGGAGATCGGGCCCCGAACCCGTCAATTCGGGAGCCGGCCGTCGATTCGGGAGCCCCGAATTAAACAAGGTTCCATAGGGCCAATGGGCGGTCTTTTCCCCTGTGACTTCTTTAAAACAGCCTCCCAAAACAAGGGTACCTATGGCACCCTCAACGCGGGTGGACCTCTGCGGGAGAAAAACACACACACACACACACACACACACACACATGTTTGGCACCTGCTTGCGCCCTTTCCCCGAGCCACCTGGAACTGGGACGCTGGAACTTCCTGAAATGCCGCTCCTTCCGCCAGGTCAATGCCATGCCACTGCTGGAAGAGGAGGAGTACGAGGCAAGCCGATCCTCATAGGACCTTGTTTGCTAACCTCTTTGTTTGACACCTTCTTTGCTGACGCCACCGTTGCAAACAAGTGCTACAAAAGACTATCTAGGATCATCCCGAGCCAGTGGCCAGAGGGAAGGTCTTTTGCCATAAACAGCGCAAATCCGGATGCGCAGAAAGTGATCAGATCCGGATCCTCTCTGGTTGAACCCCCCCGAGGGTGATCAATCAATCCTATTCCCAGTTTGGGGTTTGGTCAAGCTGTCGTCTAGTCTCATTTGGGGTTCAGGACATGGGACCGGCCACACAAGTTCAATCAGAATAGGTTGGGAGCTGGACTCATGTGCCATGGGCCTAGAACTCACGGCGCTCTTTTCAATGGAATGTGATCGGAGGGTTTTGAAAGACGACATTTTCCTCTTCAAATGGGAGCACACTTCCATGAGTTTGTGCTTATGCACCGGATGATCTCACTCCCTGAGTTTCCGGACTGGACGTTTTGAGTTCGGTGGTCATTTGAGCGGACTACCACCGGTCTGGTAACAAGGTTTGGCCCATCCGCTCGTTCGGAAGCGCGCTATGGTTATCGAAATCGAGCCGTGCAAAGCGGCAGAACCTTTGGTCGCGGGATTGCGGGTTCCATGGCCCTATCGCACTCGCCCGGCTCACGCCAAGAAGGGGCGTGGAACTCATGGCTTGGCAAATCCTGAAAATGGTGGTTCTCAAGTTTCGGCCTCCCGTTCAAACAACTCAGGCACCCTCAACAACACTTCCCTGAGCTGTCAGGCTTCGCCTGACCAATTGGAGACTATTTTGTAGCCATCATGCTAGACAGTATTCGAGGGCGCTACCGGGCCTTGGTACATCCTTCGCATGCCCTTGTGTCAGGAACCCCAAAGCCTTCCAACGGTTCTCCCCAACTGTACAGGCCTTGAGCCTTGTTGCCTGATATTCCGTGAGCGTGTACGTATGTCCTCCAATCTTTTTGGGAGTGTCAGTTGGTGGTGGTGGTGGTGGTGGCGGTGGTGGTGGTGGTGGTGGTGGTGGTGGTGGTGGTTTCTGTTTGATTTGCGGAGCAGCCACTGCTTGACCCCAGTCACCCAAGTAGGTTAAAGGAACCCCCCACCCGCATGTTGATCACTTCCCCCCAAAAAACCAACCCACCACTTGCTGACTCTCCCCCCCAAAACAAACAAACAAAACCACCAGTTGCACCCCCCAAAACCGCCAAGCTCCTCCCGGTTTGGGGGGCAGTTTGGGGGGGGCGTGCTGGGGGTGCTGCTGGTGGGCTCCGTTTGGGTCTTTGGATCGGAGGCTCTGGCGGACGAGCGTTCCAAGCTCCGGGCCGCACGCACCGCGAGCACGGGCATGGAGGCGCCCGGTCCAGTCGGAGAGCGCGGGCGGGGGTTGGTTGGTTTGTTGCGGCTGTGGTCAAAACCGTTTTGGGATCCCATCTTGGGGTAGGTGAGTGAATTCACCACCCATTTTAGAACCTATAGTGGGGATTGGGATGTTCACTGGGAGTACGATTTGGACTTTGAGCCATGGCCTTTTGGGGCCGAAAGGGCATGGAGGTTGACCCCGGATTGATTGATACACGCCTGGTTATTGAAACACTACATTTTTGTGGACTGCCCTCCTGTTTGTGAATATGGGGGTGGTCCGCCTCCGAAAGTGATAAACCGCCTCTGAAATCAGGGGCACCCCCAGATTAATAAACAGGAGTTTAGTATTCCGGGCCTGCAACTGGTTGACTCACACCATGAGTTCCTGCACTTTATAATATACATAACAACTTGTTTGGAAGATCACGGTTTTTTCCGTGGGAACCGGAAAGAACCCCTGGCCTTTGTGGAGGGTAACAGGGAACCGCCCCTCAACCACCAAACCACCAAACCACCAATCCAAAGGACTTGATTGGGGTTCTCACCTCTTGAGTTTCTGTTCTTTCGTTACCTTTCAGGAAGACATTTTGCGTGGCTATTTTCAAAAAGTGCGTGTTGTTTTGGCCAATCCATTCGGTGAGGGTTGACTTCTAAGCATGGTGACCCACCTACCCCTAGTGGCTATTTGGGTAGGTGGTTCCATGGTTCAAGTAGGACTTTAAGGCCCATATAAAACCTCGATGACCATGTTAGTAGACTCACTCCCGGGACTTTAAACTCTTTGGAAAGACCGTGTTTCTACTTTTTGGGAAGACCATAGTGCAAAATGAAAGCTTCAGACGCTTTTTGGCCAATCCACTCAGCAGAGTAGGAGGCGTGGGTCGCTGCTCTCCACTGTTTGGCAGTGTCCTGCTACCGGTCTTATTGGAACTGGGGAACATCGAGGCTCTCGTGGCCACTACCTGGAAACCGATTCGGGTAGAAGTTCGTTACGTGGTTTGGTTTGACTCAGGGGTGATTTTGACTCATATACAGGTGAAGGTTGACTCTCTAAGACAAAGGGGCGGAGATTGAGAACGCTGTCTGATACGAATTGCATTCCCCAGCTTTGCTCGACAACTTGCTACTGGAAGCTCTCAACACACACCCCACCACACACGCCTCCAGTTTCGGGTGTGTTTGGCGGGTCTCCCCCCAAATGGGGTATGTGACCCAAGGGGTGTGTGTGATGGAAGCCCTGGTTGCGAATCCGCTGTATTTAATTCATCCCCCCAAGGGAAAACTGGACATACGCCCTTGCTACAATTACAAACCAGTGATTTTATACCTTTTTTCTTGCGGGGGTAGTGCTTCGGGGTGAAATCATCTTGTAATGAGCTATGGGGGGCAAAACGAGGGCAGCCGGGAAGGTTACTTGGGGATTCCTAATTTCAGGTTGAGGATTTTGTAAGATCCATCCGTCGGTCCACCCCATGGTTAAGGAAAACTTGGTGAACAGATGGGAACCTTTGAAATGGGGACGGGACTCCTACTTTAGTTGCGGAGAAGCTGAAGCTTTGCTGAGATCCCCCAGCTCGTGGGGAAAAAAAAAGAAGCAACAACTCTGACGTCCGCCGTGGGACATTTTCGGGGGGGGGGGGGGGATTTTCCGCGCGTCCGCGGATGGGTCTTCGGTTTTCCCCTCCGCGAGTCCAGGAGCCGGAGGAGGAGAAGAAGGCGCGCTGGAGCAGCGGCCTCGCGCAGGTGGTGAACTCCAAGAACTTCGAAGGCGGACGGAGGGGGCTGGTGGTAGCCGGATACCGGGCGTAGGTGTGCCTTTTGATGGGTGAGTTTGGATAGAAATAGATGGGTTTGTTGGTACCTGGTAGCCGGTTACAGGCATAGTTGTGTCATTTTGATCGGTTAGTTTGGTTGGAAATAGATGGGTTGCACTGGTTTAGATTGGTCTTATTCCATTTACCAGGGAAACCCATCGATTTTTCCAACAGATCACCTATAGTTACAGGGTTCCACTCTTTGATAGGTTCAAGGTAGACTTCAACCCAGCGGTTGAAATTCGGTGAAAGGGAAACAAACCTGGGTTTAAGTCTACCAAAATGGCACCCAAGAGGCCACGGAAGATTGCAGGTTGTGAGTGATGAAACAGTCAAAGTCGACTGCAAAATAATGGAAGTTGAACGAGACTCCCGCTTCAATGGGATGGGGGCCTTTGTTTCCGCGAGGCTTGGCCACCGAAGGGGCACACCCGGTTTTCTTTTACTTCAACCGCCCAGTTACAGGCTGCTTGCTTTGATTCGCCAACGGATCAATCCGGACCATGAGGCGTTCCCGGCTTTGAGTGAACCGGGCCTCATGAGGCTGGATGGCAAATCTGAACTGGGCATTATGCTGGTCTTGGGCTAGGGTGTAATTCATCCGCTACATCATCACGGAGAATGTTCATGTATGGCAAGTTCAGATATGTGCCTAGCATTTCATATGAAGATGAGTCAGCTGTCCCAGTCGGGCAAAGGTCATGAAAAGGTGAGATGGCCTTTGAATTTTGGGTTTTCTGGGCGGTTCCACAAGAACTGAGTTTCCTATGATGTGTTTTTCAACCGGCTTCAAGTTTGGTATTTTTATGATAGCCAACTTTTTGACCAGCCGTCAATTCAGCCGTCGATCCCCCATTGTTTCCACCAATCCTTCTGGTTTCAAAATGCGGATGCCTGATTCATCCGGAGTGGTGTCAAGGGAATTCACCATCTGTCACCGCCAGGTGTTTTTGCGGCAGTCATCGTCAGCAACTGCATCTTTCTAGGACCGAGTGCGATCGCTCGAAAAAATGCCCCGGTTCTTCGCACGAGGAAAAGGTCAGGGCGAATGTTTGGGAGTTGAACATCTGGGCACACTTGATCAATTGGCGGAGCATCACGCGGGGATTGGGAGGAGGGGTCGCACCCTGTCTGAATTTAGGACTCAAACGCACGGCTGGAGCTGTCAATGGAACTCAGCTCAGAGTCGTCATCGGACCCCTGGTTTCGTTGCAAGCCCTGGGACCCAGGCTTGCATCTCCTGTCTTCTTGCTGGTGCTCAGGGAATGTGGGAATGACCCCGAGAAAAACTATCCAACAGGTGGTTTTTTAGGGGACTTCTGGGTTCATTCCATTTCTCATTCCTACCTATCGCACCAGCAAGTCTTCCCAAATTCTTTTGGCAGCGCAGGATTGGACCTTGAGTATGCAGCCCAGCGCCGGCCCCAGGGATTGGTGGCTCGTCGTTTTTTGGGGGGGAATGTCCCACCCACCACAAAAGGGGTTTCGGATCAACAACTTAGTTGTTCAGTGGCACCCTTTTTCCTTTTTTTTGGTAGCTGCCCCACTGAAGATTGTCTTCCCAAAAAAGGAAAACTGAACAACTGAGACAACAACGACACACCGAGATGGCACAATTCCCCCTAGTTCAGTCATCCCGTCACCAAGGGAACTGCCATCTTTCGCTAGGGACACAAACGCAAGCCGCAAGCCCTGGGGGGTGGGTCTAAAGGGGAACCAAGGCAAACCGCTCCTGGAACCCAAATCCAAACGTGGGAGCGTTGGGCCATGGGTGACGTTCTCTTGGCTTCGGGATTGGAACGTCAGTTCCTGTTGAAACCCAACTGCCAACTCACTTTTGGGGCTTCTGTTTGGTTTTCGACGTTCCTTGCTTTACTTACATTCGTTACACACTGTGCAGCTAAGTTACTGGAGGGTCGGGTTGGTTTTTCCGCGGGCCTTCCTTCCAAAGCGGGCACCCTTTTCAGATCCCTTTCGAAGAGCCCTTTGATTCTTTTTTGGGGTTGCAGGTTAAACCCTCACTTAAACATCACCCAGAGCACCTAACAGTCTTCCGGGTGCCATGTTGGTGGGGAGGAAGGGTAGTCTGTTTTTGTTTTTGTTTTTTCGTTTAAATATTATTATTTTTTAACATTTGAATGCTGGAAGGACATTTAAAAACATTTAGTCAGCATTTTTGGAAGGCCCTCTTAGTCTCTTTGGTGAGTCGGGCTAGGGCGATCGCTGGTTTTGGACAGGAACATGGTGTCCACCCTGCCCTGGGGCTTCAAGGCGGGCCCGAGGCAGAGGAGAACTACGCTCCGTAGACCCCAAGATTTGAGGCCTCGAAAGGTTCAAGGCCCGAGTCTTGGGCTCCCGGGGATAGGGGCCCTTCACAAAAGGTGCATGACACCCACCCCGTAAAAAGGTGGCCTGGGTTTATAAAGAAGAGTGGGTTCCCCATTTGTTTCTTTCCCCAAAGGAAGCCAAAGGGATGTTCAACCTCCTTGTTGCGTCTCAAAACTTGACTGGCCCCGATGAGTCCTGCCGAATGGAGGGGGCGCCGGAGAGAAGGGAGTTTGTTGAGCATTGGCGGACCTCCATCGCTTTTAAGCTTAGGGCAGTTTGGTTCGGGGCTAAAGAGGCCCTTGTCTCGTGTGAGTTGCATTTGTGGTTTGGGGAATTGAAACCAAAGCAGAGTCCAGCCTTGAAGGACCCTTAACCCCCACATGAAATTCACTGATGTTCGCCTCTTGGAAGGACCCCAGACCCATCATGTTAGCCTATCCACAGGACAACTCATGGAGATCCGAAGGCCCGTTACACCCTCAAACCCTTGAACCCCTTGAAGGACCCTTACACCCTTTCACCCGTGTTAAGCCCATGAAGGCCCTGGATTACACCTACGCGGTGCTCTTCGCCATCGAGCTGATTCTGAAGATCTGTGTGCACGGCTGGAGCTTCTTCTACATCCAGGACCGCTCCCTGCGCGGGCCCCAAATCCGCCCTCAGCCCCCTTCCCTCCCCCGCCTCCCCGGCCTTGGTTGTGAGCCACTTGCTCAAAACCCGGCTAAGCGAAGGTTAGTACGAGAAAGTCCCAGCCAGAATTAGGTTCGGATATCGGCCTTTGGAGTTCTTTACATTGGTTTGGGCACACCACTTCAATGCCGGGTTTTAATTGTGACTCTGGTACTCTTGCTCTTGTTTCCGACCTGCTTGGAGTGCAGATAGTCGTTTCAGCAGGTCAGACTTGTGAGGAAACCTCCAAAGCGGGGGGGTGGTTAAGCCCTAAAAGAGGGTGCCCAAATAAAAGTGTGACATGCCCCAACTGGCGATGGTGTCCACCCATTAGGACTTATTGCCAATTGCTCATATCCGCATAAGGAGCGCGAAACATCCATCCGGTTGCTTAACGCCAACTAGTTAGAGGCCACTACATGCGAATCTCAGTTGGCGAACTCTTACCAAATTGGGCAGCTTTGTGGCCATTTCGGGGCTTTGGCTGACCTTTCACTTGACATGCTTCGCGCAAAGCATGAAAGAACGGACCATGTTGCGGGTACGAACTTGTTTGGGCAATCCACTCAGCATTTGTCTGCAACTCATTCCACTACCGTCCCTTGGTGCAATCCATCCACCTCCTTCTTTTCTGAATGCCAACTGGTTACCATTTCGGGGTTTTTGGCTTCGCGCAATGCAATCATTCCACCGTCCCTTGGTGCAATCCATCCACCTTCTTTTCCCAATTTCCTTGATTAACGTTTGTGGTCCTTGGTGCAATCAGTCCATGAACCTTCTGCTTTTATTTTTGTTGTTTTGCGGAGGGGGGGGTGGCTCTTTTGGCAAATCAGAACAAAAGAAGGATGGCCGTTACTGGCACTGGCACTGAGGATGTCAGAGGCCATTCAGGAAGGCCCAAACAAGTTGTTTGTTTTTTTGTTTTAACTGGAGCTGAGGATGTTCTGGAATTACCTGGACCTCACCATCGTGACCACCAGCGTGGTGGAGCTGATCTTCGACATCGTCCTGATCTTCGAGGAGGACATTCGATCCGCCGGGCGCGCGCCAGACCGACTCCCACGGGCGACCGCCGGCCCCCGTTTTTTTTTGAACCTAAGAAATGACTTCGGGGGTCCTTTTAATTAAAAGGCAGCGGAGAAAACACAGGAGCCACCCAGATGATAATGTTCAATATGTTTCCCTCTTGGACTGAAGCATTGCTTTGTTGGGCGAAGTTAGTGAGTTGCCTTGCAGTGGGAGATGGACAAGGGGGGAGCTTTGTTTTACACCCCATATCAAGATCTATCAAGAGCTGAGCGTTGTGCAAGCATCCAAGTCCTGATTATTATTGATTCAACCTGTTTCAAATTAGGCCCAGGTTCATGATTGTTTGCCAAGCCTTTCTAGGGGATCTTGAATCTTGAGTCCTCAAATTCAGGCCAGATTGAACTTTCAATCTGGTTCAAACTGTTTGAATCTAGGCCCAGATTCAAGATTGCAAGCCAGACTTTTCGAGGGGATCTTGAATTTTGAATCCAGGCCTGCTCGGGGGCCTGGACTCAGGGTTGCAGAGAAGAGTTGTCTAGGGAGTCTTGAACCTTGAAACTATACAGGCTTGGATTCTTTCCTTATCAAATTCTGTTTAAGCTCTAATTGAATTGTCAAGATATAATGTTGGACCCTCAGATTGCCAAGGCTGACTCTTAGATGCCCAGTACTTACTTTAGTATTGCCAAGGCTGATTCTCAAATTCCCAGTACTTACTCTAGTATTGCCAATTCTACTTTAGTATTGCCAAGGACAGTTTTTTTAGAAACCCCCAAAACCAGATGAATACTAAAGAGGACTCCAAAACAGTCAGACTAAAGAGGATCAGGGGCTCTTGTGGGAACCCCCCTTTGTGTGACTGATTGTCTTCACTTGTTTGTAAAGAAGTTATCTTAAATTTGATGGTTTGGGAACAACTTGCAAAATGGATTTCCTAGATCGCAGGCCTTTAACCTTTAAGCTGGGGAGAGCTTAGGATGAGCCCCCCTTTAAAAGTAAAAGGCTGCGGCTTTGGTTTGCAGTTTGCAGCAACCCCGAAACCAGCTGGACACTACAGAGGGCCCCAAAACAGTCACATTAAAGAGGATCTGGGCCTCTTGTGGGCACCCCCCTTCTTTGTGTGACTGATTGCCCTTATTTTGTAAAGAAGTTATCTTAAATTTGATGGTTTGGAACAACTTGCAGAATGGATTTCCTAGATCGCAGGCCTTTAACCTTTAAGCTGGGGAGAGCTTAGGATGAGCCCCCCTTTAAAAGTAAAAGGCTGCGGCTTTGGTTTGCAGTTTGCAGCAACCCCGAAACCAGCTGGACACTACAGAGGGCCCCAAAACAGTCACATTAAAGAGGATCTGGGCCTCTTGTGGGCACCCCCCTTCTTTGTGTGACTGATTGCCCTTATTTTGTAAAGAAGTTATCTTTTTTTTGTATCAACAAGTTATCTTAAGTTTGATGGTTTGGAGACCACTTCAAGAAAAGCGTTCCCAATGTTTGCCAGGATTTGGTTGTCCGTTTTTTTGCCCGACTTGTTTGCCAAGTTGTTTGCCCATATTTTGTCCAGTGTTGCTTCCGGCAAAAAGCATCCATAATAGAGGACCCCTAAAACAGCCACAGGATCCTGAATTAGAAACCAAGTTTCTACAATAGAGGGTACTATTACTAAAGGAGGTCTAACGTTAGTGGGCAAGGAATTACATCTAAGTTCAAAGTTTAGGATACTATTTTTCAGTTGAATTCCGGACAAGCATTTCTGTATTGATTCCCTTTGAATCCTGTTCAAAGACAATCCAAATTTAGAGAGCGGTCATTGGTGGAGATTCGATTTGATGACAGTTTTATTGGAGAGGATATCCTGTGTAACATTATACTTGAAAAAGAGTAATCATTCAAAGTCTACTTAAAATGGAAATTCTGAGTTGGGTCTTCTTCCCTTGTTTAACCCTGTTTCATGTCAAATAGAAATTGGTAGAGTTTGCTGAACATAATAAGTAGAATTCATAAGGAAATTCTTTGGAGGTCCTCAAACTTGTGCTTTTCACTAGTCCAAGCACTACCATGGTCAGAAAGCACAGTAAAACACTGTGTTTTGTAGATAATCTGCAATAAGGAAGCATTCCAGTCATAATTTCTAGTTAAAATAGAATTTAAACATTTGTTATTCATCAATACTGAGTTCTGCGAAAAAATCACCCATCTGCTCTCGCCCGATTACCTTCCCCACGCCCCCCCCTCCCCCCGCCTTGGCCCCATGTCGTCAAGGAAGGCTGCGACGTCTGAAGCCAAAATTCGTGTTCTTTTTCCGCAGGCTTCGAAATTAAGGGCCACATCCAACTTTGAAGTTGGGGGGGCAAGGGGGTTGGCACCTGTTGTCAAAATGGATTTGTGAAGATGAATGTTTTCTTAGCAGAACCCGTTTTTTGGCGAGCAACGCCTGGAGAGCACTCACCGTGCATGTCTGTCTGACTTTTTGAGCGCCCAAGCGCACCGCTGGTAGTGTTTCGGCCCACCGCTTGCTAATCCACATGGCGCCCCATCTTGCCGACAAAGAGCTAGGATGCCCGCCGCAAGAAGAGGGAGGGCGGCCAAGACAAAGGCGGCGGAGGCGGAAGCCGAGGTGGCGGCCGAGGAGGAAAGGCAAAAGAAGAGAAAGGAGAAAAGAAGGCCAAGAAAGCGGCCCGCAAAGGTAGGTACGCGGAAAAGCTGGACCGAGGGCCTGCCGGGCTCGTGCGCGTCGGAGCACGCGCGGCGAGGGCAACGCAGGCCCGCTGCGACTGCTTCAGTCGCCTCTTCAATCCCCTTCAGTCTGTTTCAGTCCTCCTTTTCAGTCTCTTTGAGTCCCTTCAGTCCCAATTTTCGCTTCGATCCCTTTCAACGCAAGCGCACGGCAGTGTGCGTGAGGCGCGCCTGCGCTGACACCCGCGGCGACGTGTCTCTGAAGCCGCCAGGCGGACGAGGCAGCCGTGTGGCTGACCCACGCGGCCGACCAAGACCGCAAGCGGCGCAAGCGCGCTGCGCAGCCGAGCCCGGCGCCCATGCTCAAGCGTGGGCAAGAGTGCCCGACTCGCCTGGCCAGGCAAGCCAGACCGCCGCACAAAGAGCGGCAAAATGGAAGAAGGGCTCGCTGACTTGTTTGGCGACTAAAAGAAAGCTGTGCCGCAGAAGGCGCGAATGCGCGTCGTCAAAACAAGCAAGCTTCAGCCCACAGCCGCGGGCAAGGCCGCGGCTTACTGGCTGAGGCTGCGTGAAAAAAGTCAATAAAGAGCGATTTCGGAGAGCCTGGCGTTTCAACTAAGCTTAAAAAATAAGCAACTGTTGACGCGTACACGCGTTTTCATTACAACACGCAGGAAACTGCACCGTGTTGCTTGTGCGTTGCATGTGTGTTGCATGTGTGTTGCGTGTGTGTTGCGTGTGTGTTGCATGTGTGTTGCATGTCAGGGCAAGGGTCAGGTTTCTGTGGAGTCAGAGAGACCGAGAGATTGTTTTTCACTAAATGGATGGATGGATGGATGGATGGATGGATGGATGGATGGATGGAGGGTGGGGTTTGGGACTGCGGGCTTCCTCGGCTTGGGTGGCTCGTGGTGCATTCCACGAAAGACGTTGGAGCAACTTTCGTGTACAAAACAAGGATGCAGTCGGCGCAGACGATGTTGCCAAACATCGTTGCTGCGTCCCTGCAAAACAACACCGCACGCGCCTGCGTAGGGACTCCGGTATGTCAAAATTCAGATTTTGCAATATTTCCGTTGCACTCGAATATTCGTATTGAATTTCCAGTGACATAAATGTGTTTCTACTGGGTTCTTACGCAATCTATTGAATAATTTCTATGTAACTTTTAACTGAAACAAAGTAGAGCTTAACATAAGGAACATCCAGTAACGATTTACATCTGAATTGAGTTGGAAATCAATTATTGATTATTCTTTTCAAACTAATTATTTCACAGGACTTACTTTCCAATAGAGTATGGTTGATTCCAGAATCCTTGTTTGGTTCATTTCCAAAACCCGGACTCGGTTCCCTACCTCTCGCGCCGACAAGTTTGGCGACGTGCACGTTTCGTTGGAAGCCGTAAGTTCTCATGGCACGCCGCACGCGTGCTGCCAGTCCGTGTTTCAGGACGACGGCAGCGCGGAGCGAAGGGGCGCGCCCACCAACCTCATCCGCATCGTGCGCATCGTGCGGGTGCTGCGGGTGATGCGAGTCATCAAGGCCGCGGGCGCGTTTCCAAGGGCCTAGGTCCATAACTTGGGCGTGGGTCAAAAATATAGGTACTCAGAATGGGTTGCCCTAAATAAATAAAACAAGGACTGAAGCCTGCGCTCACTTCCTTGTTGGGGTTTGGGTTGATCTTCAGATTTCAAGGAACCCCTGCGTTGTGTCCACGTGGAGAAGGGGTAGCAAGTCTGAACGGGGAAGCCCCACAAATACACGCACAGTCTCAGCCCCAGGAACAGGGAGAGCAAACGCTTCGGTGTCCTTTCGATCGGTTTCTTTTGGAAATAGATGCGCTTCACTAGATTTAGAAATTGGTTTTATGAGCCATCTATCAGGTCCCCATCGATTTTTCCACAAAAGGACAAGGTGAGTGACAGAAAATCTCTTTTTGTTGCTACCCCGAAAGGCAAGATTCCCAGGGTTTGGTTTCCCGTGGGCTTGATGTCCTGCCAAAAAAGCAGGCATGGAGCCGCCAGGAGATGTTTCTGCTGGTGAGAGATCCCAGCCCCCGCGAAAGATTCCAAGAACATCCAAGAACCCTCCCAAGTTCTCGGTTCCTTTCCGGCTTTTTGGTTCCTTGTGGGTCGCAACACCCGTTGTTTTTTCCTTTCCTTTTTTTTCACCCGTTTTTCGCGATGTGTTTTTCCCCCCCTTTTTTTTCTTCTTCTTTTTCCGCAAGTTGCAATTCGTCAGGTGGTAAAGTTCATCTCCGGGCTGACCTCCTTGGTGTCCTCCATCCTCTCCACTTTGAAGTCACTGCCTCCCAGCTCAGACGGAGCGCACGGGTTTTCGTCGTTTTGTGTTGGCTTCGAGCCTGTGACCAGGCCGGGGGTCAAAGCCGTGTTGGGATCCCATTTTGTTTTTTTGGGTGTTCGGCGAATTCACCACCCAATTTACATACTCGATTTTGGTGGGGATTGGGATGCTCACCGGGTTTGATTTGGGTTTTGACCCGTGGCCACCGAGGAATCAAACGGCACCAGGGCTCCCAGCCTTCTTTATTAAACGTTGCGCTCCCAAACTGCCACGTTCCCTGTAGGATGACGGGGTTCACACGTTGGGGGGCTGGTTTCGTTTGGATGCCAAGCCAATCCTGGCGATGCTACATCTTCCTTGCTTTCTGTTGGTCTTCCCTTCAAGATCCATCAAAAAATGGGCGGCCACCGGCCCCTTTCCCTCGAAAACACCCTTTTGCCACAAATTAAAAGGGGGGACCCCCTCAACAGTGGTCGGTGAACATTTTTATCCCCACCATGAGGATGTCCTCCAAAGAGTCCTCCATGTCATCAACTTTCAATTCCAACTTCACTTTTGTTAGCTGTATAGTTTATGTGTTTCTGTTCATGTTTAGTGGGGGGCTGCAAAAAACATGTTTGTTTTTTGCTGCCAGACCAATGCTTGCAAAGCTAAGCAACCTGGGCTTGAGGCAACCATGTTTCGGGCGACTACCGTGGCCCACCCTGCCAGAACAGTTTCAAGCGGATTTGCGGATGCTGGGGTCCTTGCATTCCTGGAGCGCTCGACGGGAACGCTTTGGAGGGATCAAAGTTGAATGGTCTATATTATGGTCCTTCCAAAACGGCCTTTTGGAAGGATCAAACCATTCTTTTACACCTTGAACAGTTTATATAATCCTTTTAACAAAGGATCAAATGGTCATTCAGCGGTTTGCCTTAGATTATCGATTAGATGGTGACATGTTTGGTGGGAATTGTCATTAGCACAATGTTGCAATTCATCACATGGATTCCAATTCGGGACCTTGCTCTTGAGGTGTGTTTACAGAGGAAAGGGTGCCCTACAGATGCTGCAAGGAGGACCCACAGGATTTTGTTGGGAGTAATCCCCTCAAGGCTTGACTTCTACTGGGTTGGATCTTTAGACTTTAACTTTTTGGGAAATCAAGCGGTTTTCCACTAAACCCCCAAAAAGTTGAACTTTTGGCAGGGGGGCTCCACGAGCTGCCAGCGAGGTTCTGGAGCTTGGTGTTGCTACTGATGGTCATCTACGTGCTGCTCGAATTGAACCCAAACTCGCAAACTAAGGTATACGTCCCGCAGTAGTGCCCTTTTACCCTTTGTTGGGGGAGGGTTCTTCTACTAAAATAGACTACAGAAAAAGGGGTACTCTTATTCTAACCTCTCTACTGGAGGACCTAGTAGACGAAGTGAAGGCTTCTGCACTTCCTTCATCCCCTGTGGACGTGTGGGTGTTGCTGTGTAGGCATGTGTGAGGATGGAGGTGAAGGTGTGGAGGTGTGGAGGCGTTGAGATCTGATCCGGAGGTGTGGGCGGGGGGGGGGGGTTGGTGTGAAGATGGTTGGGTGTGTGGCTGCGTCGGATTGAGATGGCGAGTGCATGAGTGTTGGTTCTGTTGACGTGACATTTGTTGCATTCAAGTCTGCATCAAAGAAGGGGCTCTTCATGCCGACCCTGCATGAATAAACCCGAATTAAAAGTCGTACTTGCCAGGGTACACTACGTACGAGGCGCATTGGGCCATATGTTTGCCTGACCCACTACTTCCCCCCTTGCCTTGATCCACAAGTTGAGTTTTTCCCAAAAAGCACCAAGTCAAGCCCGGATTCTTGTTTGAACGGGTCGGGGTTCTCCGTTGGGCTCGGTTCTGCATTGAGGGGTCGCGAGTCGCGAGCCTTGGGGCAAGTTGGCTTCCTTGACAAAGGGTGGGCCAAACCACGACAATACAACATTAGTATTGGGTCCTGTGTCCCTTTCCAGGGACCAGTGCCTCTTACGCCAAGTCCCACCGATGTTTCTGTACCTCCTTTTGGATTCTCGTTCAACCAGCCCCAAAAAAGGTGTACGGAGCATCATTGGACCAGAAGGCTTTGGACTTCAAAAACTGCCCATGTTGAGGCCCAAGATTCCTAGGTTATTTTCTCGCCTTTGCCCATTTTGAAGCCCAAGATTCTTAGGTTATTTGTGGCCCAAAAGGCATTTTCTCGCTTTGCGGGAGGTTTGGGATCCTCTTCACGGACACGGCCATCAGTCACATCCTCTTCGTGGAGGACGAGGAGTCCGCGCTGGGCGACACCACGCTGGAGGAGCTGAAGCGACACTTCGGGTCTTTGCGCCTTGGCAAACAAAAACCGAATCCGAGACCCTGGGAAACTTGGATTGGTTGTTTGGTGGTTTTCCATGGTTTAGGTTCATGGAAAATCCCACCTGTTCCAACCAAGAAACAGAAAAGTCATAAAGATGTTCAGTTTCCAAACCGCTCCAACCACATAGCCATAAACTTGCTGGTGCGATAGGGATAGGTAGGGAATGAGAAATGGAATGAACCGGAAGGGGGTTCCCTTGAAGGAAACAATATGGGATGGTTTTTCTCAGGGTCATTCCCTGATGCCCTGAGCACCAGCAAGGAAATGGGTGTGTGGGTGTGTCCTAAAATAGGGAAATGGATTGTATGTTGTAGGCTCGTCACACGAGTAGCCTTTCCCGAAGGTCACGCAGTGAGACTCCTGAACAGCACCCGCCCGATCCCGCAAAAAAAGACAAAAAAAGAGGCCAATACTCTGAGTGGGTGTAAATTATGCGTAAACTAGTTTGCATTGATGGGAACACAAGACAATTCCAGGTATCTTGAAAGGAATTCCAGCACTGCATTTGCTTCTGTGGCAGCGCCTTTGCAACTCTTTCCCACTCGTTTGACTGTCTCCATTTCTCATCATGGCCTTGAAGGTATTTGTACAGCCTGGTCTGTTTTTCTTTCAAGCGCTACAGCATAGACGAGTGGAAGTGAGGGAGTGGGAAGAGAAGAATGGCGTGACATAAAATGCATATCTTTCCGTTGATTTGTAAGTGCCAACCATATCTGGGCTCCATATCCAATATGCTGTTTGACGAACGCTTGATCCCCTTTTCACTGTCTTTTGAGAAACCACTCAACTCTCGGGGCAGTCCAGCAATTTCTGAAAAGACGGATGCCCTGGATTCGAGAATCGCTGCTTTCACGCGGAGAAAAACATACTCGAAATTCGTTTGACGCTAGCCTTCCATTTGTTTAAGACTACATTGCTTTTCCCTGCTAGTTTTAAGGGAACCTATCACTTGACATATTCGCTCATGTTGCCGGGGCTGATTTTTCAGCTTTTCTTTTTTTTTGTGCTCCATCTTTGCACGTACCTATTCAGGCCCTTTTTTCGACATGGACACCCGTGTTTTTCTCCATCTCTGCACCCAGAAACCCTTCATTTGTTTGCTCCGTAGCCAGGCACCTGTCCATGCACACGCTCTTCCGCTGCGTCACCGGCGGCACCGACTGGGGGGACATGGCCGCGCTGCTGATCACGGTGGACTGGGCCTGGGGCAGCTCGGTCGGGACGGCGCCGGCGGCGCCGGGGTTGCGGTTTCGGGGGGGGGGCGGACTGGGTAGGTGTCCTTTTTGGCCCCCGTTTGGTTTAATCATCTACCAGGGAAACCCATCTATTTCCCCTAAAAGGACACCTATGGACTGGGGGGTGAGAAGTGGGCAGGGGACGAAGAACGAAAGGCGGAGGGAGTTGGGATTTTTAGATGGCTAGTCTTGCTGGTGCGATAAGCAAAAATGAGAAATTTGGAATGACGCGTGTAAACCACTGGTTGTTTCCTTTGATGGAATTTGTGGGTTCATTCGCACATTCCCTACTGAGCGCCAGCAAGTGAGTGGTTGGAGCTTTTGGGTTGAAACGGACACTTCATGGCTCATTAGCTGTTTGAAAGGAACAGGTGGGATTTCCATTAACCCCAAAAATGGAGAAGCACCAAACCACCAATCCAAGACACCTAATTAGAGGGGAGCCGAATCTTTGCGGCTGTAAAAACCCCAAAACTTGCTTATGCGATAGGTAGGGAATGGCCGAGTCCGGGTGCTGGGAATGAACCGAAAGGGGATTCCCTCAAAGGAAACCATAGAGGATGGTTTAGAGTCATTCCCTCATTCCCAAAGTGTAGACACCTTTTGCAGAGGGGTCCACAGCAGTAACCAAGGAATTGTTGCCCTGTGCCGAGACCCGAAAAGGGCTTGCTTAACTCTGTTCAGGAAACCTTTGGTTGGTTTGGGTTGGTGGCAACTGGGGGTTTGAACCCCTTCTTGTAGATGAATGCGACACCACCCCCAACCAAACCACCAATCCAAACCGCCAATTAATGTGGGAAGCTGGCTTGCCAGACTAAAGTCGCCCTCCGCCCCTTAAAGGCCCAAAAGGGGGCTCCTTCGCATGGCTGTCCTTTTTGGTTTTGGTAGAAAATAGATGGTCCTGGCTGACATGTGTGTTGCATGATCTAGGGCCATCTACTTTCTCAACAGGGGAACCCAAAACACGGAGGTTCCTACCTATACCCTTTCGACCTTGATACGTTTTGACTTCAGAGGGGTTTAAGTCTAAGTCCCATTTTTGTTTGGTGGCTCCCTCGCTTTCAAATGGGTTTCGGCCCAAAAATGATGTCCAATCTGTTTCCACTCACTTGCTGAACCTGGGTGAGGGGGAGGTGGGGACGGCAAATTCCTCCTCCATCCTCCTCCGTTTCTCCTCCATCAGACCATTATCATCCATGTCTCCTCCATCAGATCATCATCATCCATTTCTCCTCCATCCTCCTCCATCCCCCTCCATGCTCATCCATTTCTCCATCCTCCTCCATGCTCCTCCATTTCTCCTGCATCCTCCTCCATTTCTCCTCCATCAGATCATTATCATCCATTTCTCCTCCATCAGATCATCATCATCCATTTCTCCTCCATCCTCCTCCATGCTCATCCATTTCTCCTCCATCAGATCATTATCATCCATTTCTCCTCCATCAGATCATCATCATCCATTTCTCCTCCATCCTCCTCTATGCTCATCCAGTTCTCCTCCATCCTCCTCCATGCTCCTCCATTTCTCCTCCATCCTCCTCCATTTCTCCTCCATCAGAGCATTATCATCCATTTCTCCTCCATCAGACCATCATCATCCATTTCTCCTCCCTCCTCCATGCTCATCCATTTCTCCTCCATCCTCCTCCATGCTCCTGCATTTCTCCTCCATCCTCCTCCATTTCTCCTCCATCAGATCATTATCATCCATTTCTCCTCCATCAGATCATTATCATCCATTTCTCCTCCATCAGATCATTATCATCCATTTCTCCTCCATCCTCCTCCATCCTCCTCCATGCTCATCCATTTCTCCTCCATCCTCCTCCATGCTCCTGCATTTCTCCTTCATCCTCCTCCATTTCTCCTCCATCAGAGCATTATCATCCATTTCTCCTCCATCAGATCATCATCATCCATTTCTCCTCCATCCTCCTCCATGCTCATCCATTTCTCCTCCATCCTCCTTCATGCTCCTCCATTTTTCCTCCATCCTCCTCCATTTCTCCTCCATCAGATCATTATCATCCATTTCTCCTCCATCAGATCATCATCATCCATTTCTCCTCCATCCTCCTCCATGCTCATCCATTTCTCCTCCATCAGATCATTATCATTTATTTCTCCTCCATCAGATCATTATCATCCATTTCTCCTCCATCCTCCTCTATGCTCATCCAGTTCTCCTCCATCCTCCTCCATGCTCCTCCATTTCTCCTCCATCCTCCTCCATTTCTCCTCCATCAGATCATTATCATCCATTTCTCCTCCATTTGATTATCATCATCCATTTCTCCTCCATCCTTCTCCATGCTCATCCATTTCTCCTCCATCCTCCTCCATGCTCCTCCATTTTTCTCCTCCATCCTCCTCCATTTCTCCTCCATCCTCCTCCATTTCTCCTCCATCAGATCATAATCATTCATTTCTCCTCCATCAGATCATCATCATCCATTTCTCCTCGATCCTCCTCCATGCTCCTCCATGTCTCCTCCATCCTCCTCCATTTCTCCTCCATCCTCCTCCATTTTCTACTCCATCCTCATCAATTTCTAATTCTCCTCAATGTCTGTACCATCTTCCTCCATGTGGCACAGGATCGGCATCTCGCCTTGCAGTCGTGGCAAGAGTTGCAGCTGCTTCGATGGATTGTGGCAAGCTATGGTCAGCAAACTTGGTGTTGTTTGTTTGCCCTGTGCGTTTGAACCCAGTTCCCAACGTTGCCAAACGGCCTGTGGCAACCAAGGCTATCTCTTTACCGGCTACATTGCGTTTTCATACTTTGCGGTTTTGAACGTCATGACTGCCGCTCGACTTTCGTCTTTCGGCGTTCCGCCTTGCGGGGCTTCCTGGCTGGCTGGACCAATGTCCACCAATTTACGGCAGGTGTTTGGGGATGCTCAAAGTTTTTGCCGCGCGTTGGATGTAAGGGCATTCCACCAAACAAACACCCATATGTCTATGGTTGTTTTTTAACAGGGGTTTAGTTATGGCTGGGTGACTTCACCGACTACTTGCGGATTCTCCGTTGACACTTCATATGATTTATGCCCCAGCAAGAAGGTTCTTCCAAACCGAACCGCGCGCCCAGAGTCACGAAAGCCACTGAACTCTTTATTTCCGAAGGTCAATGTTTAGTGAGAGCGCCAAACGAAGCATGTTGATGGGGCCAGAATGAGCACGAAATTGGTGCCAAAGAGGGTATCTATATTTCTTGGACTGGGGCAACCACTTATGTTTGGAGCATGTGGCTTCCCCTTTTCTAGTTGGCCTTGAAACAAAATCTGCCCTAAAGTGAATCACACTCCTTCGGTCAGAGCCCCTTCGAAGAAGTTTGTTTTTCTTGGAACCCTTTCAGGGTGGCCATTCACTTCCATCCACATATTATATGCATTTTTTGTATATGTCTATGGCAAGCGGTCAGAAATGCTGTACTCGTGACTTTGAAGGGGTGTTCGGAATTACTCGCTGGGTTTTTGATTGCTGTGTCTTTGTTTCAAGGCGGACCGCACGAGATTCAAGCAAATCCCCTACTAGCCTTTTTGGGTACTTGTGTTGTTTTCAAAAGCTTGTTGGCGAAAAGCCTGTTTGCTCAAAGTCTGTATGGTTCCAGCAGATCTTGCATGGTTCCAGCAGCATGGCCCAGGAGCACATTGTCCATTGCACGGGTGCTGTGTTGCCATTTTCCGGCCCAAATCCAAAGCAGTTCTTCGCGCTAGCCTGGCGTTAGCTCGCGCTAGCGCTCGCGCTAGCAGTGGGCCCATTGCATGGGCCATGCCCCCATGGGGCAACATCCCCAAGCCAGACTCTGCCATCCCCAAGGCCAGTATTCTATCCCCAAGGTAACTCGCAAGATATCAGAGAGAGCTTGAGTCCTCTAGGGTGAAGCGTTCGAGACAACGACGCATCGTTGGGGCAATGAGCAGCGCTAGTGACAATACTAGCAACAGTATAGTAGCTCAAGCTCTTCTAGCTCCGACTGAAAATGCTGCGCGCTAGTGCGCCTGCCACACAATCGGCACATGCGCTCTTAGAAACAATGTAGCCGCAATGAGATTAAAACATAGGTCCGCTATGATACGGGCCGCGCGGAAACGATCATTTCCAAACAACTTGGGAAACAACATGTTGACAACCAACCATATATATATATATATATATGTATGCCGTGTTTTCAAGATCTGAGGTTGGTAGGGATGCCCATATCAATCATATCAACCTGTAAACTCAGAATGAAGACTTGTTTACCTGCCTGGTGCAATGGATATCTGGTGGGGACGTTGGTTCTTTGCCCTACCGAGGCGGTCTTCTGCCAGCGTGCCATTGAAAGCGCGGAGCAGGACGAACAGAACATCATGCAGAGGTTTGTGGACGACCAAGCGCAGCTCGGATCGAGCCGTGAAACAACTCACTTGCCCAAAGCCGACCTTTTGACCTCTTGGTTTCCCCTATTTGGTCCAGTGAAGGTTCCCAAAGGTGCACCTTTCATTTCCAGGTCCTTTGGGCGGCGGCAGGTGAAGCCCTTTTAAGGGTCCCGAGCCCGTTTGGCTTGTCCACGTGTACAGCATGCTTACACGCCTGCTCACTCCCTGAGCTGATGGACTTAACACTTTTTTGGGAAGACCATTTTAGTGGCAACCAAAAAGTTTGATCGGAGCCCCAAATCAACGGGTTTGATAGCACCAGGCGCTTGACTCGAATCCAGGCGGCACCGGAGTCGCATCGAGCAGCTCTTCCACACCTTCGACGGCACCTTGGAGCCCGAGCTTTGGAGTGCGGTGATACTGTGGATGGACGAAATCCATTTCGCACCACTTTGAAACCATGGGAAGCCGTCGTTTGTTGGTATTTACGTGGGAATCATCAGAAACCAGGGTTTCTTAGGTGGCGCGAAATGGATTTCGTGCATCCACAGTATTTTGATGGGGTTAGCTCAAAAGTGGTTGACCGTGAATCCCAACCCTAAATATCCCCTAAAGGGGTGTGGCTCAAAATCAGACAGCTGGGGTTGCGCAGGTTTTCGTCTACCTTTATGTACCAGGGTTCCAGTTTCGACCCCCATTTTTGAGCCACACCCAAATGATGTCAATGATGTCCACCAACCACTGGTGTTGTGGTCTTAAAGGGAACCCAAAAGGAAATACCTTGTAGCCCTTTTGGGTTGCTTGTGGATCAATGCCCAGTAGATGTGTGTAAGTGAACTTTATGGCCAGCTGGTTAGATCTTTGGACTTTCACTTCTTGGTAAAACTGTGGATGTTCCGTTGGAACCACAAAAAGTTAACCTTTTGGCAGAGGGGTCAACAGCAGCCAAGTGGGTGTTTTACCAAAATGAGATGGAATTGTGCCATTTTTCACCAAGCTGAAGCTAAGCCCCAAACAAACCCCTTAGAGCAGACTACAACCAACCAAGAAGCCGGGGGTATCTTTTTTGGGGGGGTTGCGGTGTTTCGGGGCGCTGGTAGAAGCAAATTTATGATTCATAGAAGCCTACGGTTCATCTACAGGTCAATCCACAGGTTGATCTACAGGTTGGTCTACAGATTAATCTGCAGGTTAATCTACAGGTTAATCTACAGGTTAGCCAAGTTCCAAACAGAACAAGGGATTTGGGCAAGCCAAGCCTCATGATCATGGGAGAATGGGTGGAGCGCGGGTTGATCCACATCAAACCCCCAGATTTCCTGTGTCCATGTGTTGTTCCTTTGCTTGAGGGAAACGTCTGCCTATTCCCTTGTAAATCAACCGAACAAAGGGTGCCTTTGTTTAACTGCTGAAGGCTCGGGAACTCATTGTTTTCCCTGCAAGGAGAACTTGTAAGGGGCCAAATGAATGACCAGCACCTTGTTTCTTGATCCTTACTGAATTTGGCGCTAAAGGACCCAACCAGCCTCATTCGGGTCTTGTGTTTGCCACTTATCTTACCTGTCGAGTTGGTCAACTTGAAGCTGATTGTTGTTGGTAGGGTTCTTCGTCATTTCACGAAAGGTCCAAACAGTTAAAACTTTCTGCCCAGTCAACAGCTCAGTTGTTCAGTGGCACTCTTTTCCACCCGGGGGATTCCCATCTCAATTTCTCAATTCTGTTTCACTGGGCAACTGCGCTTATGCCCACATAGAGAAAATGTACAGAGAAAAAGCCGTCCCAGCAATTGTATTGGTAAAACAACTGAGGGGACCCACCTAGTTGTCCCACATGTTCTTTAGGAAGAAGCTTGTTGTACATCACATGTTTATGGCTTCCAAGGTTCCTGTTGAGTCTTTACCGGAGCGGTAGCTAGGTCCCCCAATAGTGCACGTTTTCTCTTTTTTGGGGGAGGGTTCCCCTGCTAAAACAGACTACAGAAAAAAGTTGGTACCCTTATTCTAACCTCTCCACTGGAGGACCTAGGTAGGGTACCAGAAGCCAACCTTCCACTTCCAACCGGGCTCTAATTGGTGAGGGGAGCGGCCGCCGCGGCCAGCCTGAGGCATCGAGAAGGATGGGGCGATCACGCTCAGCGAGATGGAGCGCCCTGGCTGAGACTGTGACCTAAGCCCTGGAAGTTCTGAGTCGATTCAACGCAAAGACCATCAACGTGCCCCAGTAGTGCCCTTTTACCAGGGTTCCCCTGCTAAAATAGACTACAGCAAAAAAAGTACCAACTTGTCCTAACCTCTCTACTGGAGGACCTAGCCATTGGTTTCAAGCGTGGTTTGATAGGTGGCGCGAAACATTGAAAAAATGGTTGTCCATCCACATTAGGAACGGTTTAAGCGTGGCTTGATCGGTGGCGCGAAAAAAACCAACAACATGTTGGTCCATCCACATGATGAGTGTTTTTTTTTTTTGCTGTGGCTTGATCGGTGGCGCGAAAAATCAAGAAGTATGGTTTTGTCCATCCACAAAATAGAAGAGGCGCAAACATAGAGGCTCAGTCACTCTGGACTTTGATCCTGAAACGCCTCTGGACCGGAAGCTGGGTTCCCCTACTAAAGTAGACTACGGAGAAAAGGTAGCCTTATTCTAACCTCTCTGCTGGAGGACCTAGGTGACATTTTCCAGTTCATGCAATGCTGGGACCACGCTGAAGCAGCATTCGCCAGAAATAGATGCGCTAAATTAGTTGGACTGGTTTTATTCCGTGTATCAGGGCCATCTATTTTCCAAAAGGACACTTATGTGAAGCCGAAGGCCAACAGTTTTAGCTTGTTTGGGAGGTGAAAAGGATCCGTTTGACCATCTCCGGGATCAACTCCGTCGAGTTGGGCTCCTTCATTGGCCTGGTCGATTCCACAATTTGAAGATGGGCCTGGGACTCCAAAAGCCAACGGTGCAAGGCACTTTCCGACTGACTTTGCACACTGTGAACTCTGTGTCGGTGGCTTGGTTGCTTCGTCACTTTAGGCCTGAATAAATTAAAACTTGTTCTGGCCAGTCAGCTCAGCTCCGAGAAGTGAGCAAATGGAACCGTCCAATGTCTAAGTGCCGGTTTGGCTTCCCTCTGGATTGTATTGGTTGTGTCGTAGCACTTTTTGTGTTTGGCAACATCCACAAGTGGAGTGGATTCAAAACCGCATAAGAAGGACTTGTTGGGAATATCTTCAATCCAAAGATTATGTGTTTTTCATGGCTGGCCTACCATCCCTTACCCGGCGCGGAACCAACCCGCTAGCAAACATTGCAGATGGATAGGCGGGGGTGTCTTCTGAAGACTGCTACGGTTTCCTCTAAAATTGGTAGCCTTGCCAGGTTTAATCAACTTGGGGTTCACAACACACACATACACACCCGCACCCACACACCCACACACACAGAGACACACACCCGCGCGCGCGCCCACACGCGCACGCACACGCACGCGTACCCGCACCCGCACCCGCACCCGCTCGCGCACACGCGCACTCGCAAGCACATGCACACGCGCACGCACGCACGGACGCAAACAATTCGATCAGATCAACAGCCGCAACTGCGGTGGCTAATTAACACAAACCACAAGTTGCCAAACAATGCAAATCAAATCAATATCAAACTAGGGTCTGTGAGTCCTAGTAGAATTCCATAGGGATTTCAGGTCCCCTTCTTCCCCCGACATTACGTGCCCTGCCCGAACCCGAAATGGAACAGGACACTTGCCCTTTAAGCATGTTTGCAACTAACTGCATCATCGCCAAACCCAAATGTTGACACAGTCTGTTGCTGTTCATCTAGTTTCGTGGTGGAAGTCACAGCGTCGACACTTAGGACCATCTTACATTTTTGCCCTTGTCTCAACTGAAAGAACAAAGAAAAGATACCCATAGATACCCTGCCTCCCACCAACATGGCACCTGACGGGGGTCCCTTCAACAGGATGCTTGTTCTTCCAGGTACCCTCCCAGAGGTGCTATGTTAGTGTGAGGAAGGGTAATCCTGTTGAGGGTTGAACGTCGACCAGGGAACCTCTACTGACGAATAGTGCCAGGTATTGTTACACTGAAAACTCCGTTGGGCGTGTTTCTTTTTTTTCCGCACCTCTTTGGTGTTTTTGTTCAATGCCCCCAGAAAACAAGAAAATGACTAAGCGTGTCTTTTCAAGGCAAGAATCCCAGAGGAGAAGCGATTGGTGCTTTGGTCCTTTGGTCTTTTGGTCCAAGACGATCCCAGTTGGGCGCCGCAGGCATTTCTTCGACCACGAGGAGGTCCGTGCCATGTTTCAGTCCTTGGACCTCACTGCGCGGGATTCCTGGACCCTCTTCAAGCGCCTTAGCTCCGGTTTTTACGCCTCTGTGTCGCCTTTTTGGTTTTTTTTTTTTGGGGGGGGGGAGGTATACAGGGTTCGCCGTGTTTGTTTGTTTGTTTGTTTGTTTGTTTGTTTTGTTTTTTGGGGGGAATGATGGAGACCTAGGGTGCATGTTGTTTCTTTTCGGGCATGGGTTTTTTTGCGGGGTTCCTGGTTGCAAGATCATCAGCACCTTCCCAGTGAGCTAGCCATAAATTCCGCAGATTCGGCGATTCTTCGAGGGCACCATGTTTTAGGCTGGTTGGAAGGGACCGCAAAAGGAAAGCCGCCACTTTTCGGGCACCCCTATATTTTGACTGGCCCAACATGGGATATACAATTTCAAAGCTCTTGTTCGTTTTGTTTTTGCCCCGCATTCGTATGTGTCAAGAAGCGTTGGAACCACTTCGCCAGTTTCAAGACTTTTTCTGAGAGGTCCTTTTATCAACCCCCAAAAAGCTTACGCTTAAACAAACATCAAAAGGAGAGCATGTACAGGGTGGATCATACTAACAAATGGGGCTTTGGAAAGCCGCTCAGTTTGATCAGTATTTTTCTGCGGATCAATCCGACGTTGACACTCACCTGAGGACTGACGAGAAGTGAGTGGAGCGAGAGAAACAGAGACAGAGACAGAGACAGAGACAGAGACAGAGAGACTCGCGCACGTGTCAAAGGTCGCATAATGAGACCGGGTGCCTTTTTGACAGATTGCTGACCAACTGACCCAAGGCCGAAGGAGCAATCCAGCCGAACAGTGCGTTGCAGACTACTTTCGAGTCGTTTTCTTAAGATTGCGCAGACTGATTTTGATCCTACCTTTGCTCGGGTTGTTTTGTTTGTTTTTACAGGAGGTCCCTGTCTTGAGACAACCCCAAATTCTTTCGAGGATTGTTCGTCCACCCAGCGGCTGTGCCCTTTGCCGGGAGGTCCCAAACCCAACTTGCCGTCACTTGTCCGACATGGCAACGACTGGCGAGTGTCCTTTCGTTTTGGTGCTTGGCGAGGTTCGACATGGACCCAAGGAAAGCCAGGCGAAGGGTTGATTTGGTCACTCGAAGGTTTCAAGCCCATCCCGTTGGGGAAGCCAATAGAAGCCTAGAGCCAGCCACTTCCAAAGGTTTGCAGCTGCTTCATGCATTCCTTCGTTTGCCTCAAGGAAAGTTATCCCTCCACAGGGTTAAATCAGAGGCTACGTGAGATCCCGTTGCAAACCACCATGGGAAGATACCCCAAAGACACAAGTGTCCGCCAAAAGTGCAGTTGCGTGGGTGTGTTTTTGTTGAGTTGGTACTCCTTGTTTGTGGTGTTCACGGGAAGCCAACAGGAAAGCCAAGCCATTTGTGGGGTTGCCTCCAAGAAAGACACAACCAATAGACTCTTTCGAGGGGGGGCGGTTGTTGAATGGAAAAACCCAGGCTGCTGGATGAGGAGGGCAACGGAGACATTAACCTTCCGGCGCCCAGGCTGAATGTGCTTGCAGCCACATGGCGATGTCTTTTTGGAACCCCGATTTGCCGTGGGTTGAAAAGAAGACCATAAGGATACCAACCAGTTTGGGGATCCGCTGATGTTGAGACAAATCCACGAAGCTCCGGAATGAATTCGTTGACCATGGGTTCTGGCAGATGTGTTGCTGAAAGCGCCGACTGATGGCCCAAACTGCGTTTGCATGGGTTCAACGGGCCCGTCTTCTTGAATTCATTTTCTCAGAATCAGATACACCCCAACTGCTGGCAGGAACTGCTGCGGATTTGAACTCCTGGATCTTGTAGGGGGCAATTGGGAAACCACCCAAAAACATCTAAGGGCCAAATCACAAAAAAGGAACCCACCCCAAAACATCTAAGAGCCACTCCAAGTCACCGAAAGAAGCAGCGAAGCGGATTATCCCCAACATCTTCCGCACGGACTAAGGAGTTCATGGATGGCTGCATGCGCCTCCGTGGCCCTGCCAAGGCGCGGAGAAAAAAAGGTTTGGCCCTCAGTGCGATCGGTTCTCCGGGTTCGGCTTGCGCGAAGAGACGCATGTATATATATATATATCTCTTGTCTTCGTGGCTTGGGGCTCAGGTGGATGTGGCTGTGGGTCAAAAATAGGTACCCAAAATTACCCTTGTAAATGGAAGCCCTGGTGGTTTAATTTTGACCCGTACCCTTTTTTGTTGGCTCCTGAGGTCCGGTTTGTGAATCACTTTGATTCGGCTGGAATTGCACAAACCTCAAACCATTGTCCTGGTGCTCAGTTTTCTCATTCCCGAAGCAGCAAGTTGTGTTCATGGTGGCAACTGCACCCCAGATTGGTCTGAAGCTTTCGAACCGGCAGGTTGGTGGCAACTGAACCCAAGGCCATTGGTTTTCGCAAATTCTGCAACTGAAGCCAAGATTTGTTGATGAAGCTTCTCAGTGGTTGTGGTTTTCCCGTTTTGCCCCCACCCACCCCCACCCCCCCCACCCCCACCCACCCCCGCCCACCCCCACCCACCCCCACCCCCCCACCCCCCTTTTCAATGCTTTTTTCAGTGGTTTTTCAGTTTTCCCCCCCCTTTTCGGGCACGCGCTTCATTTTTGAGGACGGGGTTCCCCGTTTCGGTGAGCCCCGCGAGCCCCGCGAGCCGCAGGCGCTGGACATCGCCTGCGTCATGGACGAGAGCCGTCGCATCAAGCGCAGCTCGGAAGAGTTGGTCGTCGCTCGGAGATGGGTCTGAATTCTAATCGGGGGCCAACTGTGCTTTGATGTTGTTTTAGCTGGCATTTCAACAGGAACAGAGCACTTTGTTGGACGTCAGAATTCGGTCGGGATCCATGTCCACCAACCACTTTGGAGGAGGTTCCAACTCTTAAAATAACCATAGCCATATGATTCCTTTGCGTATGCTATGAGCTTGTTTCGAGTTATCCCCTGAAAACTGGTTCGTGGGCATAAAACTCTCACTTGTATCATCTAGGTGCCCGAGCAGCGCCCTGTTACCTTTTTTTGGGGGAGGGTTCCCCTACTAAAATAGCCTACAGAAAAAAAGGTACCCTGATTCTAACCTCTCTACCGGAGGACCTAGTTGTGTCTATCATTTTGTATCCCAGATTGAATTCCTTCATGACCACACCTCAGGTGGCCAAAAGCTAGCCTCGCAGCTAGAGGCTTGGTTTGTTCGCAGGGAACACTCGCTTAGTTAGCTCCATTGGTCTTGTAGGTTCCCAGCCAGCCCTGCAGGATTTCAGCTTTGTAGGTGGCTTAGTGGAGGTTTCCATTTAATGAACCCGCTAACAGTTCAACTTTTAGCAGTGGATCTGAGGACAGCCCAGTGGTGGGTGCTTGGGCGCACAGATGCAGCAGTGCCAGATGGGATTTTGGAACACTGACCCACCTCCAGAAGGTTTTATCGGTCTTACATTTTGCAAATGACCATACCGTACCGGGCCATATTTGTTGGCCTTTTGCTGGTGTATGTACTCTTGTACTGTAAGCCGCAAAGCACAATGTTTAGAATTGGGCTGAGAATTATTTAAAACCAAATTCAGTCCTCATCAAGAAATATCATGTGAAAAAAGTGTCGCCTCTCAGGGGGCTCCTCTCAATGGCAATTTGGCACGGAGGGTACGCATTTCGGAGCATGAATTTTCCGTGGGATTCAGTTGGATTCGTTAAATTGAAGGGCTTTCTTTGGCTTTCCTTTACCAAGGCGCACCACAACTAACTGACTACCACCTTGTCGTCGAATCAACGAGCCCAAATCCGTTACGTGGAACCTGATTTGGGACCGGGGTTCCCCCTCTTGATCGCGAGGCAAGATGATGGTCACGGACTACCGCATCCGGGATATGGAGCGAATGGTGACCGCGCTCCGAGAAAGAACGGGGCTGCTCGGCTTCCGGCGGCTTCAGGTCTTTTTTAAAGGGTACTCTGTTTAGGGTTGGTTGAAAGGGACATCAACAGGAGAACCGAAGCCACTTTGCGAGTCCCATAAAGGACAAGCTGCCCATTCCCATGCAAAGGGCAAGACTCGGTTGAAAAAAAAAAACAAAAAAAAGATGGCTGGGCACCTCCTAATGTAATTGGGATCTCGGAGGAGTAAATTCTCAGGATCTTCCTTGGACTAGAGTGCTGAAGGGTAGACTGGTGGAAAATGAATGGATCCGGAGCCATTTGAAACAGCTCCGTGTTTGGGATTCCGAACCTCTGAATCGGTTCATCGGAATGCATGCCTTGATTGGATGCCAGGGCCTCTTGAAAAGAGCAACCCCCTTTCAAGGGTCTTTGGGTGCGCAAATCACCCATGAATCTTATTTCAGTTTGCTGAAGCATTTGCCTGATCTTTTGGTCCATTGGCAAGTTGGATTCTTACAAGGCATGAGCCGGAATCCACTTGTTCAAGGCGCCTGAAAGCGGTCGTTAGGTCCCTCACGTGGAAAAGGGAGGCTGTTGGTTGATTTTGGCAGATAGTTTTTGAGGCGAGCGGTCCAGTTGGTGACGTTTGACTGGAACGAAGCTGCAGGGGGAGGAACTTACAGCAGTGGCCGCACTGTTGATGGACCTAACCGGGGGTCACAGGCAAAGTGCAAGATGCCTTTCCTTTGGTCCATAGTTAGTCAAGCCCCAAACAGCTAACCTTTATTTCAGGTCCTTTCAGGTGAGTTGTGTGGCTGGAAACAATCGGAGCTGCTTCCATCACTGTCAGACACTCCCCACGAACGGTTGCACTGAGGGGCAGCGGGAACGGCGAAGAAGCGCAGGCGCGGAGAGACGGAGAGACGGCGGGACGGGCACCCCAGATCTAAGTCAAGTTCCCCTGGATGATTTTGAGATGGGTGTGTCCCCCTTTGGGGATTCTTCACTGTTGTTGGCAAGTCTGTAGGTTTTTGTGTTTTTTCTACCACAACAAAAGTTGGAAAGGATTCGGACCACGTTTTAGGGATTCGCCCCAGAGCTGTTGCTTTGGTGCAAGCAGTTATTACAGCCAAGACTTGTCACATCTTGCGGAATCATGATCACTCTGAGCGGAAAAGGTGTCACTATTACAGCCTCTGCCAAAAAATCGGGTGAGGGACTTTTTGGAGGGAATTCGTGTTGGTTTTCGTTGTTTCTGAGGCCCCTTTGTGCCTGGCTGTTCAAGGGCCTTCAGCTTGGAATCGTGCAACGTGTCGCTCTGTTGTTTGAGGCTCCTTAAGCAGTTTGAGTCGGTTTGACCGGGGAGGCAAGGGAACTAGGCCGCATTTAGGGGGGGTCAACATCCTGTTTAGAGACAAACCCGCTTGTTTGGGAGGAGGAAGAGGGTGGGAAAAGGATGGAGGTTCCGTTTGTTCCGTTTGGTTGGGCCTCAACACGTGGCGTGTGTGTTTGTTAACCCGCCAGCGAAACGATCAATTGTTGATTTGTGGAAATATGGTTTGTCTCAAATTGGGCGTATCACCGATCTTTCCGCTTGCTTTTTTGATACTCGCATTCATACTCAGGGAACGAGGATGATGCCACAGGAGTTCAGTCATGCCATTTGTCGGGGTTCTCTGTATTTCCTCCTTTGGTGGTTTTAGCCATCATGTTCCGTTTGTTTTTGCTGGGATGATGTTTGAAGGGGGCCTGGAGGGAACCTCGTTGCAAGGTTTGGCCAAGAATGCTCCCAGCTCGGGTGATCAGGTGATGTTCTCCACAGAAAATGCCACTGGCAAAGGTCATTGAAGGTCCCTTGCGATTGATTTCCTGCAGAATACAGGCCCTCATTTTTTGCACCGCAGTTATGAACAGCGTGGGGGTTGGAAGAAGATTCCTCTGAAGCAGAAGCCTCTTAAAAACACTCCACCCGCGCGCGCGAGGCAGCTCCGGATCCAGGCCAGGAGAGAGACAGAGAGAGAGAGTCTCGCGGCGGAGAGCCGTGGAAGGTTCTAGGTTTCGCACACCTTTCGACGCATGACATAAATACCCCATCATAGGTGTCCTCTTTGTTTGATTTGGTTTAAATGTAGAGGGCGATTCCTGGTTTACCTGGTGGTTCAATCAACTACCAGGGCCATCTATTTTCCCAAAAAGGACACCTATGTTACCCATTTGTTTGGCTCACCCTCGGGTGAGGCTACGATTTGTGGCTTCGAAGGTGGTCACTTTGGGGCTTCCCTCCACGGCTTCATGGAGGGCGGAAAACACCAGTTCTCGCACGAGCTGAGGCCATGCCCACTAGGTCCCCCAGCTGGGTGCCCTTTTTCGCCCCTTTTTTTGGTTGGGAGGGTTCTCCTACCAAAATAGACTACAGAAGAAAACAAAAAATGGAACCAACTTATTCTAAGCTCTCAAATCTGGAGGACCTAGCCCAGACAGTCAATTGCTCGTTGGCGGCGTCTAAGCTTTGAAGCTTCCGCAAGGTTTCTGGGGTCGGCATCCCGCCATGAGTCTTAAGCCGGAGGACAGTACATATCGGAGGACTCCGGCAAACATGAGGACGTTGCCCGCCAAACGGCGGAAGGACCCCTGAAAAAAAAGGGTCCTCCAGATCAAATCAGTTGACTATGAACTACAACTTCAGCTTCACCCTACTTGGTGGTTTGGATGGGGGCCATTGTCCCCCATTTCACTTCAAAAGGAACTCGGGTGCAAATCCCAAACCAATCCAAGCCGCATGCTGCCGCCAATTTCACCCCGTGCTAGAAAAACCGCGCCATGGGGGGTTCGGCACTCCCTGGCCAATCAGCCTAGGACACAGAGTAGTGAAAGAGTAAGGTGAAGAAGCGGTGAGATCCACAAGCAAACGGCATCCAAATCGCTTTGTACATGGCGACTTCCTGAGTTCATGGACTTGATCGTCACTTGGGTTTGGCCGCCATTTGAGTGGCAAGCAAAAAGTGTGGTTAACTTTTGGGGCCAAGCCACTCATGAAGTGAGTGAAGGATCTAAAGGGGACCACCCTGCCCTTCTGACAAAGTCTGCCGCGTAGGTGCCATCGCGGTGAACGACAAGGTGCTGCGGCCCGAGGCAGCAAGTTGGGCGCCAGAATTTCCCCCGTTTGTGAACACACTGGGGATGGTCTTTGAAATCTATATTAAAATCGCACCACCGTTTCAGAAACCCAGCGGAATGTCTGATTCGATTCCCCATCGTAAATACCAACATACGTTATGGGTCGTCAACCATGGTTGCAAAGTGGCGCAGCAGTATGACTGTCTTTGCGATTCCAAGCCATAGGTGGGAAGCCAAGAGGAGAACCGCTGCCATTTTGTGGCTGCCCTAAGAAAAGACGAGACACCCATCTCGTTGGTCGAAAGTTCCACGATTTGTCCGGTGCACCATCAGCCCTTCGGAGTGCAACGTGTCTTGTCCGAGTGCGAGTTGCGGTTTGAGCTGCCGATTGGGACCCGTTTTGGATGGTCATGGCCCCTACATAAGGAGTTCGGATCAGGAAACCACGACGAAATGGGCCCACATGTGGTTGGAGTTTTGGCCAACCCCCCGGTCCCGATGGGGTAAATAGAAAATGTCCCTGGCCAGAGGCTGGACTGAACTTGGCGAAACGTGCGACCAGGTTCCCTCAGCTTTCTGGTGCTCAGTGAATGACCCATGGCGGGGATTCCCGAAAGGAAAGCATAGGGCGTTGCACCTGGAGCCTTTGGTTGGGCTTTTTGAGGCCTGGTGACTGGTTTCCTATACTTGTTTGCCAGCTTTTTTGAATGAACGCCTAAACAACCATGTTGTATATATATATATATGCACATATTATATATGCATTGTATACATACACGCACATGTTTACTCTAAACCATCAAGGCCTGCGATGCTGCCAGAAGTGCCGTTCTTTCTTTGATCAGTTCAGGCAAGTTGAAACTTTGATCGCCTCCGCGAGGATCCTTTCTTCGAGGACCTCGCCTACGATGTGGGCCCACACCTCGATTTCCTCCAGCCCCACCTCTTACTGCCCGGGGCTCTGACCTGAGCGAAAGGCCGATGGCCCGGCCGAGCGCCAGCGCAACCGGTAAACCAACCTGGCGAATAGAGCTCTAGAGGGTGTCCCCAAAACGCGAATCGTCCCCCTCTGAAATGGCCGGGACAATAAGATGTCAACCAGGGCTTCCCACTTTACTGAGACGCTGGTAGAAAAGGTTCAAAGTCGCGGTTTGTGGAGTTGCGTTTGCCATCCCTTGCCCAAGAAGTTCATGAGGCAGGACTGCAAAGAACCTCAGGCCCTAACAGCTTAGACTTGGATTCTGTTGCGCGTTCAGACCTCGGTTCCAGTTTCAGCCCGTTAGCCAACAGGCAAAGGTGTTTCTCCATAGAACTTCAAACGGCTTCCTGTGAACCTACCCGGATTTCTAAGACAAGAATTGCCCGAAACAGCACCCAAAAGGCTTTGTGCCTGATTTGGCGTGGTGTTCTACTTCCTGGTCGAACAAGAGTTTAATGACCTCTACTACGCGTTGTGACTAGCTCCCTTTCAAAGAGTGCCCAATATGACGCAAGGAGTCCAATGAACCCCAGTGAACCAATCAGAGGCTTACCCATTGAGTTGGCCTGCCGCGCCTTCCGCACCGGCGGTCTTGTCACATGCGTCCGGTGTTACCACGGTCAAAACGCCGAAATTTCGTCCATGTTGACTTTGGTGCATTTTGCTTGGATGTTGGGACTTAAACTTTTTGCCAGCTAAGGGGTTTTCCATTAAACCACTAAAAGTTAGACCTTTTTTTGCAGGGGAGCAGAAAGCAACCGAGCTGACCCTGACTAGATAAACCTGGAAGACGTAGGTGAAGCAGTGTTTGCCTCGAAAGTACAGGTTTCCTCTTGAATGTGTCAGCTCCTGATTACTGAATAAAGGGGCTGTCTCATTCTGGGTAGAGATGATTGGCAAAGAGTATGAGCATCAACTGCAGCGTTGCAGGTTACATGATTAGATCTGTTGCTTTTTGCTCCTGTTCACTGTTCATGAGCAAAAACGGAAGTGTTTGCCGAATGCAAATTGTGGCATCAATCCTCATGGTTGTGAGAATTGGGGGCTTTTCTCGGTGTCCCCGTTAAAAGCCGGCACGGGTCCGAAATTATGGAATCCCAAAGGACGGGGGGAGGGGGGGGGTACTGGCAAGGTACCAGGAAAATGAAGCTAGCTTAGGGTTCCTTAGGGATTCTTAGGGACTCTGCCCCCCATCTTAGGGATTCCACAAGAAAAGGGCCATCTTTTTGACGCCCAGCATGCACTACGACTGGCTGTTGAAAGTTGGCCTTCTGTCTGGCGCCCGGAGAGTCTTGACCGTGAAATCGCTGCCAATTGGGGCGGCAAGGTGCCGTGTCGAAGACAGGCCCTCTGTGTGTCGACCTCCCGAGTTCTGCTCGAATTGGAAGTCAAACTGAGAGCCATGGTTTCTGGGTTGGATTTGTCAAGCCTACGAAGTTTCCTCTGCCGAAGGGGGTCAACAAGTTGCTCAAGCGCCAGGCAAAAGTTCAGCCTTTTCGGAAAATGTGATGTAGTGTGCGTTGTTTAATTAGGTTGGAGCCCTCCAACGCGTTGGTTTCCTTTTGCTTTCCCTCTACCCCCTCCCCCCCCCCCAAAAAAAAAAAAGGAAGGAAGAAAGCAGGTACCCTCAAAATCAGACAGACCCATGTGAATCGACACTGCTCACTCGCTGACAGAAGTTGGGCGAGGTCGACGTTAATGCCGCACCTTACACTTCAGGCTTGCCTGATCCCTCGATCAAGACGGCCTGAGACAACGCAAAATGGGCCGCCATGGGAATGCGACAGGCAAACAACATCGGAGAGAGGCTGTTGTAAGGGTTGATTAAACATTCTCATCATCCTCATCGACCCTTGTTGTCTTTTTCAGGAATCAGCCTTGTTGATTGTCCAAGGCTTTGGGGTGCCCAAAACCTTTCTCACGCGCCAAGAGATCCCGACCAATCTGTGAAAAGGTAAAGAATGGGTCACACCTCTTCGTCATTGGCTGGGGAAACAAATGATCAACTGTTCTGTTTGCCTTGACTGAGCTGAAGGTTTTTGTGGATGTATGTTCATTTTGTGGCAAAGGCCCAAAAGCATTTTACTAACACTTGGTCTAGGCAGTAAAGATTGAGCTACTGAGCATTAAGGAAAAGGATATGCAGCTTAGGAAATCTCTTGGCTTTCGGGCCCAACAAGGCGCCTCCGAAGCACCCAACACAAAGAAGCCCTCGCAGGGTGGCGCCGGCGGCCAAGCCTGTGCTGCAGCCCGTGAAGATCCAGGCGCGTTCGGGAACGAACCGGGGCAAAAGCCATCGGTCCGAGTGGGCAAAAACTCGGCTTCTTCCAAGTCTTGAAGCACGGGGTCTTTGGCAAGCCTACTAAAAGTGGGCAAAACCCAAAAACATAAACACATGCCAACAACAGTGACGTTGGCATCTGTGTTAGCTTCTTCGTCTGTGGTTTCTGTTCCTTACTGGGGGTATCAGAACAAGGTTTGGGAATGTTTGGGAAGTCATGGTCGTCGGTCTCTGTCAATGTCCGGTAGCAATTAGCAAATGGGAGGCAATTCAGACAAGCTGTCCCAAAATCATTCCCTACCCTGAAAAGAAAAAGGGGAATACAGCACAGTCGGCGCCAAACAAATCCTGATTTATCCCAAGGCTACACAATGCGACGTGGTGCTGGGCGAGCACAAGTCAATGCCAAGCAAATACCAAACCAAGTCTAAACCAATACCACACCGTACTGCACGAGCACGAGGCAATTCCATGTTAATCAGCGTGGGTGTGTCTTTTTTAAGGGACCCTTCGGATTGATGGTTTCCCTTTTGGTTTTGCTCGAAACCAAACCGAAACGGGGTTGCCTCAATATCAGACACGCCCACATGTTCTAACTGAGCTCAATTCCAATCATGCCACAACCCCAACCCTTTTGGGGCTTATTAACCTCAGGGTTCGCACGTGTCCAATTCCTTTTGAAGGAAACAAGGGGCGGGATAGACATGATTGCCCACCACCCAACTCCACGAATGCCCGGAATTTTGCAAAGGAACAAGGGGAAGCTTGTATGTCTCCGCAATTTGTCCCAGTTTTCCGATTGGATGTGGTTGGTTCACTTGCAGTATCTGGAAAACGTTTGTAGAGCGCTTTCGATTCACTCAATTGGTCTTTGGTACTTTAATAGCGCAATTGACTTGTCGGCTTTTTGGTACTTGTACTTCCTAAGAATGACTGGATCACTTTTCGTTTGGGATCAGTGAATTCTGGGCTTTGGGATGTGAATATTTGTTTGTTAGGTTCACACAGCAGGGACCAGGATCTACCCTCCCAACATGGACCTGATAGAAGATTTCCTTGAGAAAAAGGTTTGCCCGGGGCTTCCCTAGCCGGAAGGAGTGCAAGCCAATGATTTTCCACAAAAACTGCAAGGGATGGGGTCGATAGGCCAAGACAGTGAGTTCAAAGGAGGGTTCCAGGCCGTTCCGTTTGGGCTGTTGGGGATATCACCTGGGCTTATTTTCTAGCACACCTTGGGAATACCCCATTCTAATATTTTTGGCTATTAATAACGAATCTCTGGACTTTAACTTGTTTGAACCTTTGCGGATTTTCCGAATTAGACCCACAAAGAGTTTTGACGGAGGGGTCGCGCAGGCTGAGACCGAGTAAGTGCATAGGTGTCCTTTTTGGTTGATTTGGTCCAAAGATAGAGGGCGATTCCTGGTTACCCGGTGGTTCAATCCACTGCCAGGGTCATCTATTTTCCCAAGAGGGACACCTATGAAGAACCCAGACCCCTCAGGGGCCCTTGAAAACAGCCCATTTTGAGGGCCCCAAAACATCGGGAGCCTTAGGGGAAGTGTTTAACCGCTGTAACTTCCCTTGTGCCGACTTTCAGTCTTTGGGTTTTTGTATTACACCCTGGGAATACACCCACTGGGTATTCACCCCATTTAGGCACATTTCCGGCTAACACCGTGTTATGTTGAACCATTCTGGATCATTTCCCAAGGGTGTCATCCCAGGGTGTAATACAAAAACCCTCGACTTTCTCATTGAGCCTCCTCAGGCCCCGGAGCCGGAGGTGGAGGCCGAGGCTGAAGCCGAACCCGAAGCCGAGGCGGAAGAGGAGGACCCCATCGCCCAGGCACGGCAAAAGGGGAGGGGGGGTGGGACCCAAAATCCCTCAGGTCGACCGATTTTTGTTGGCCGAAAGAGGAAGTTGCTTGTGGGGTTGGTCTTGAAATGCAGGGGGACATGCAAACCACGAAAAGAAGCAGAACCCAGCCCCCTAGTTTTCCCTTGGGCAAACCTTGGTAAGTTTGACTGACGTCTGGAGAGCAATGGCAAACTTGAGCCCCAAAAAAGTCGCGGTGAAGCCGAAACAGGGTTCCACTTTTTGACTCCGCCAGGGTAGACTTACACCGAAGAGTTCTCTTTTTGGGGGTATGAACCACTGGGCTAGGTCCCCCGGTAGTGCCCTTTTTAGCCCCTTTTTTGGTCGGGAGGGTTCCCCTACTAAAATAGACGAAACAGAAAAGCATCGGGTACCAACTTATTCTAACCTCTCAAATCTGTAGGACCTAGGGTAGTTCAAAAGTGGAACCCTGAAGCCGAAATGACTCGCGACTCGCCCTGAGCGAGCCATCCGCACCGAGCCCCCCTCGCCTCGTCGAGGCGCTCATGGAGCAGGTGGCCGCAGCTGAGGCGGCCGCAGGCCCGAGCGCCCGGAGCGGATTTGTTTTCTCGTGCGCGGTCGCGGGAGCTGGGAGGGGTTGATGAGGTTCAGGGGTTGAGGGGCCGACGTCGACCTGGGCGCGTGTTGTTTTTTTCTTTTTTTCTCCGTGTTTCTTTCAACCAGCTGGATGTGGTTGTTTTTGTTCCAAGCAATCCGAAGCCTCATGGTTTAGTCCAACCCTGCCGTCTGACCTCGTTGTCCTTCAGTTTTTGGGACTCAACGCTTTATTTACGTGATCGCCATTTGCACAAGCAGTTCAGTGGAAGCAGTTTCGAATCGCTAGGCCTTTCTTGTGTTTTGTTGTTTAATGACTATCAACAATGTTC